TTCCATGAGGGTTCCACCAGAATTCTGCCAGGTTTTGCAAGGTAAGGTTCCATGAAGGTTCCAGCACGCACGTGGTTCTGCGAGGGCTGCGGGGTGGTCTGGAGTGGTTTGAGGTACGGTTCTGTGAGGGTTTCAGGGTTCCACGAGATTCTGCAAGGGCTGTGAGCCCTGAAGTTTCACAGGGTTCCACAAAGCTGGAACGATTCCACACCAGTTCCACAAGGCTCCAAGAGTTCCAGAAATGTTCTGCAAGGTTCCGTGGTTTGCCCTGGAGGGAAGCAGTGTGTCGTGCGCCCGTCGTCTGAAAAGCCATCGGATCAAGATTGGGCGGAACACTAAGCAAAACCGAAATCAATGGCTTTTAGCACACTTTCACTGTTTTGTGACTTGCTCACTTGCTCAGGCAAATGTTGGCATTGTGGCAAATCAGATCGTCGCTGCGGGACTCACGGTGCAGCAGAGTAAATGCTTGGCATTGCTGCTTGGTGGGCTTTGGGCTCCAAGAATTCCACGAGGCTGCAAGGGCTATGAGGTAAGGTTCCAAAAACGTTCCACAAGGTTGCCACCAGGTTCTGCAAAAGCTATGGGGCAGCCCTGAGGAAAGGATCCAACAAAGTTTCACGCTGAGCTCCACGAAAGATGTCATGAGAACGGTTTGCGAGGTTCACCGCCTAGGTCGGGGCCCGATTGCACTGTCGGGGCCCGATTGCACCGCTTGGCCCCGATTGCGCCATCGCGCCCCGATCGAGGCCCGGCTCAGTCGGGCCCCGTCAACTGTACCAAGCTGGCATCGCCTAGTTTTGCTATAGATACAGTTGTAATCCGCATGCTAAGGAAAACCGGCGTTGAGCTATAATATGGGTGGCTGGGGTTGCACCACCCCGATTGCATCGTCGGGCCCCGATCGGGCCCTGATCGGGCCCCGATTGCACCGTCGGGCCCCGATCAGGGCAAGATTGCGCTGTCACTCGTAGCTTTGCTTTAGAAAGTTACAAGTCCTGGGGCGTTCCGCGGGGATTCTGGGAGGGTGTGGTGCTGTTGGGGATCTTATTTTTATCTATCTATCTATCTAGCTGGCTAGCTATCTACCTAATAAATATATATATATATATATACATATGTGGTATGACATGTGTCTCTATGTTCCTACAAACATGCTGAACCACAACTGAGGGGTACGATGTCCGATACACGACCCCGGCGCTCAGCTTGCTCCAGGCGGCGTAGGGGTTGTTGAAGGGCAACTCCCCGGCCTCGCCGGTGGCGCCCGGCACGAAGAGCTGAGTGAGGTCGAATGAGCCTCACTTCCAGGAGTTTCTCATGGGTCTGCCTGGAAATAGGGGAACCCGTTCACGGAACTAAAGGGAAGCCAGAAGGAAGCCAAGTTGAGGGATCCCGAATCTTGAGAAACACTGATATGGTGGAAAATGCCCCTTGTAGTGAATGAGTATTTAGGGAGAAACCAAAAGGAAACTAACCTTGTTGAGGAACCCAGCCGTCGACCAGGTTTGATTTCTACGCAGCCACCGCCTCACCTTCACTTCAAACAACCCAAAAGATGCCCTTGGTAGCCAAAGGATGGGTTTTCATCTGTGCCATGGTCAAATTATGACCATGCTTTTGGTTCTATTGATGCTCATCATCAGTCTCTTAATATTTCGGTGTTTAGACAACCATGGCAAGCATTCCTATCCGAGTCCCAAGTAACCTGAGGGGCGGTCCCTACCCTTCGTCTTCCCAGGGTTTGCTCGTTGCTGGCGGGTGAACCGTCCGCCAGGAAGATCAACGGAGCCAACCCTGAAAAATGGATCGATGGATATGCTTTAAGGGCAGCCTTGTAAAGCTTGGCTAGTGAAATCGAATTGACAACCACCATTTGAGGGTTCCAGACCCAAATGGAGATTGCTGTATGAATGTTGGAAGATGCGAGTTCCATGTGCTGCGCGTGGATTCGGGGAAACCAAAAGACTATTCCCAGACATGACTTCCAGAAAGAGGAGTTGCCGGTCAATTTGGATCTTTGTTTCTTTGGGTTTGGTTTGGGTCTTGGTTTGAAAGACCAGAAAGAACTGGGTCACCTCGCTATGGGAGGGAAAAGGTTGCAAGCTTGGCGTTGGACCGCTGAGTTCCTTTGGGATGGTATTTAGTTGTTCTTTGCTTTTCTGGCTGTAGGACCAATCATAGCAAGATGGTGCGAACCAATCATAGGAGGGATGGTATTTAGTTTTGTGGTTGTAAGAGGAACCAATGCAAGGGTTTGTAATTCTTAGACCTTGGATTGGCCTGTGTGATTCACCCGATGGCAAGCAACCCAACGTCCAAGCTGCCGAAGCAAACTTACGACATTCACAAATTCAAGGCAAATAATGGAAATGGCAGCCACTTCTGTCACACCACTGACACGCATTCCCAATTTAGAGGAAACAATGTTTTGATGGTACCATGCAACCTGCTTACCGCCAGGATAATGATTTCGGAAAGCACAGTTGACATCTTTTCACTTCTAGGAGCTTTCCCGTTCATGGGCGACTCAAATCCTTGTCTGATTTTGGCCAGTCGGTAGTCTAAGTGATGATTCCCGTGTGTGCTTGTTTCCAAGACCATGGGCCGATCTACAAAAGAACGGACAAGTGATTGATGAGTTGGCTTTGTTTGTGTTTGTCTAGATAGTTGGTGTGGAACTGTTGCCGCAGTTCGAAAGTTGGTCACACCAAGAGCAAAAAAGGTTGGAACACCTCAACAAACTCCTCGAACAATTGGGGATTGATTGGGGCAACCGCTTTCATGCATACACGCCCTCTGATAATTTCCCCCCAAACAAAAGAGAGGGCACAAAGGCCATGGTCTAAGAGCCCAGCCTGCATTCAGCTTCAACGACGCACCTGGCGTGGCACCGCGAGCTTCGCCTCAGGCAAAAGCCTGAGGTCCTGGTGAAGTCAAACAAGACCTACTTGCCATCTCAAGGCCGTGTGATCAGCGCTTGAACACTTTCAACAAGGGGATTGCACCAACCGTCCAAGCGCGTCATAGAACGACTGATTCCTTCCGGTATGCTTGCCCCCTGCCTCGTATTGACACCACAGCCAGCGGCGTCAAAAGCAGCATCCTTCGTGCGATGGGCGTTTCATGAACAAATAGGCGCGCTTGCTGTTTTTAATCGAACTGCATTGCATGAGTGCCGTTGAAGCTGTCCCTCCTCCGGAGTTAGGCAAATGGCCCGACCATGTACAGTGGGGTGTCGCGCTCTCGGCTGACGGAGCAAGAAGCAAGAGAACCGCCTACACAAATTCCCAGCCTCCTCAGCCAACGCCACCGCTCGTTCTCAACGTTGACACGGGGCACACCATCCTCCTGTGCCAAACAGAGAGAAAAGGACATACACATGTCGGCCCCACTATTCATGCCGGCGGTGTCGGTCGCAAGTAAGCCTCTCTCTCTCTCTCCCTCTCTCCAAGTGGGCGTGTCTCGTTTCGGAACCCCAAATCTGGTGGTCGTCCTTTTGGTTGAACTTTAAAACCCAAGAAAAGACGAGCCACCCATGTTGCGCATGAGTTGCTGTCACTCTCAAAGATCGAATCAGCCGGGCTCCCAAATTCATAAGGTCCCTTCATGAACTCCAAAGCCCAACAAGTCGCCTCTGCTGTGGCATCTACCAGCGGAGCCGCTTCCATGGCAAGTCTTTGTTGCCACGCGAGGGCTCCTTCAAAGTGCACAAAGACACGTCTTTTTTGGTGAAGTCGCCAACCTGGAATCAAAAGGCGCTTCTTTTGAGGCCATGACCAAGGTGGGCCAAAGGCCCAAATTGTTTAAAGGTTCGATTTCTGCAACTGAAAAGAAACACCAACACATGGAATGCAAACATCCGAGCTGGGAAACGAGTCTTCGAGTATACCTGTGAAACAGCCGGATCGTAATTCTTCTGGGCAGCAAGATCTTGAACACATCGCCGCGCGCTTCACGCTTCACGTTCGGCTTGCTGTCAAAGCCAGCTGCGGGGATGGTACAAGTCATGGCCTCTACGAGGAATTGACTGAGCCCCACGGTGCCATCAAAGACCCAAGGCTAGACAATTAGTTCCCGACAGAGGGAACATGGAAGAGGAAATTGATCTTCCAATGTACCCTCCCACAGATGCTATGTTAGTGGGAGGAAGGGCAAAGGAAGCTGAACGTTTTGTTTAATCTACCTTTGTAGTTTGGGTCATCTCTCAACGGTTCGGAGCACCCCTGAAAAATCTGCGGCAACCATTTATCATGCCAAAGGTACAAATGGAGCGCCTGACACCCCACATCAGTCACCTGGCTCATTCCATTCCAGAGCATGCGCGGGCATGCGGTTGCAGGCTGTCAAAGGGACAAGCACAAGGTGCCTGCATTCCCTCCTAGATCACCTTGTGAAGAGAAAGCTAGCCTAAAATTAGCAACCAGTATACTAGCCACGGTCAAAATATGCGGTTCAGCTGGACACAGGCGAATTCGCGAGTCCGGGGGGGTGCCTTTGGGGGGAATTTCAGTGCGTCCGCCAGATTTTCGACTGAACCTGTGATGTGTGTAGCTGGCATGAGGCAATGGGTTGGGGTTGTCCCTTTTGATTCCCGTCAAACTCACCACCAATCTCATAACCCAAAAACAAGAGTCGTTTTCTTTCTGGTTCCGCTTCAAATCCCCCAAAATGCCGAAAAATGCCCATGTTTACACCCCTTTGGGACGCAACAAGCACAAATCACTTGCGCCTTGGACCATGGGACCTGACAGGTGATCACCTCCAAAGCTTGCTGAGTCACCAATGCCCGAGACCGTGGGCATGAACCGGAGGATTCGCTGAAAGGAAACAACAGCTTGGATGGTTTATCTTGGGTTTTTTATTATCAAAAAACAACCCCAAATAAAACAAAACAACACAACACCCCAAACAAAAACCCCAAAAACAAAAACCCGAATGGAAACCACCCCACACAGCTAACACCAAAACGTCCCATCCGGCCGCTTTGCTGGGGGCGCCAGAAAGCCGCCCAGGCGGTCGCAGCCCTCCACCTCCTTCTGCAGCTCTTCTAAGACCTAACCGCGGGCACCGCCGCGACCAAACGTCTCACACATCAGCCAAAAAAAGACACGTCCACGGAATTGTCCGCCTGCTTTGAGCAGATGTTTTAAACAGAAATTCAAATAACAAGTTCAAAGAAGGAAGAAACGTCCACGGAATTTTCCGCTTGTTTTGAGCAGAAGCTCAAGTAGCAAGTTAGGGGCAGAGGTAGAAAGGGTTGTGAAAGGGTAGTCAGGGCGGCTTGCGACAACGCTCATACAAGGTTAAAGGAAATCAGCCAAGAAGGGAAATGGCTGAGTGTGCCCCAAAATGGCGGCGCCTAAAATTCTCAGGAGATCAACTTGTTGAGAATTGGTTGCCAATGTCCGGTCGAAACTCCTGTAGCTGGTTTCTATGACGATACATTTGTGCCGAAATCTTAGAGCCTGAAATAGCGCCCAAAGGAAAATTGGTCTAAACCAGGGCGTCCCTGTCAGGTTCCATGATTGTTTTTGGAAGGGTACTCAATTCTAAAGTACGGGTGTGAGTTTCTTTGGGGACCCGAAATGGTGAACATCATTTGGCTGGATTAGTGTCCAACCAGTCTTGAGGGGTTGCCCATTAAAATTTCTCGCAAATCAATTTGCGCCACTGTACTAAGGGGCTGATTCCATCCACTCTCTTCACCCATCCTTCTCAATAGAGAAACCGCACATTTTACGGAAGAAGTTGGCAAATTTGAGGCGAGGGATCCCTGAACAGAATGGAACAGTTACGGGTATGATCGATTTCCAAACCAGCCATGCTCAAAACGTGTTGTGATTCGCCCTGTTTTCCCTTGCGCCACTGCTAACTCATGCCTAACCCACATCCGTTTGTCTCCAAAAAGGGATCCACTCTGTTTGAGAAGATCTTTCTTGTGGCTTGCTTAAAACACAAGTTTGCAAGGGCACGGTCTTAACTGTCTCTCTTCAGTGATTTAGTCTCAAATGGTCTCGTACCCCCTTACCCACAGATCAACAGGCCCACAGCGCAAAGGGCTCGCCCATTTCCTGCGCGCCTTCTCTTGCAAGGCCGGCCCATGCACGTTGTACCCGCAAGCCTCGCACAAAAGCTCGTGGGACGGATGAACCGCGTCTGATGAATTGTGACAAACTACTTTCCAACTGGAGGAGTTTGTCCAGGACAAATTTGGCATAGAGCTTGGCTTAGAACACAACGACACTTTCCGTGTTGGCAAATGCAACAAGGTTGCTCCAAAGACCCTGGAATAGAAGGAAGCCAATCTAATCTGTCACCGGAGGAGAATCTGGGAAGCTCAGGGCATTCCTGACTTGATGGCTACCCTGCTCAACAAGTTCAACTTGCATCCCGCATGCCATTGGTCAGCCATGTCAGTGGGAAAATCAGATGTTTTTGCAACAACGTAGAGGTTAATAGGAGCGCAGCAACCTGAATAAGGTGGCTAAGTCGCTGTAGGTCAAAACCAATGGTACCATTTTGGGTAGGTGCACCACCCATTTTGGGGTAGGGGATTTTGACCCATGGCTAAATCGGATCGGCGCTGAGTAGCGTTCAACGTCGGAGGTCTGCAAGGGGCCCTGGGATGGACCGCCTGAGCCGGGCACCCAGTTGTTCGCTGCGCCGCCAGCATGGTACACACCACGGGGCGCGTAGCGCCAGGCACGCTGCGCCTCGGGCTGCCGAGTTAGACCTCCGTTGGTTTGCCCCCTGACGTGGTAAACAACAAATCACCTTAAGGAACTTATATGAGTACGTGTCAAAGTAGGGATTCGGGCCCCGAAGATGGGTGGGTTTTCCTGATGCACAGATTGAAACAAACAACACTTTGAAAAGGTGACCAGCTCAAGAAAACAAGCACCGTCCCAAATGTGTCTTGACATCTAGCTTCGAGGACACATTACATTCCCCCGGTTTCAGTACGCGCCGGAAATATCTCTTTGAATTGATTTACAAGCATGCACCATATATGGTGAAGGCAAGCCCCTGGCATATATGCTGTATATATATACATGTGCATATTATAGTTGTTCCAGGTTCTTTATACCCATTTGTCATGGTACCCCTTTCTGTGGGGTGTTGGTGGGGGTTGGATAAGGGTTGGTTCAGGTTGGATAAGGCTTTGCTGAGGCGTGGGCTGAGTAGTTTGTCAGTCCCAGGCTGGGCTTGGAGTCAGCAGGGTGGGGGCTGCGCTGGGCCCGCTCGATGCTGGGCTGGGGGCCAGAAAAGGAGGGGGGCAGCGAACTTGGGACTGGGACCGCTAATGAATAATAATAATAATAATAATATTCAAAGAGAGCATATTCATATGTGTATGTGTGTCCGTCTGTGTGTCTGTCTGTATGTATATGTCTATGTATATGTATATTATTGCAGCGGCCAGCTTCACAGTCTCTTCGCTGAGAGGGCAACTTTGATCCTTTCCGCTCATAGCTCGTTGCACACGTCGTTCAAAGGCTCCATAGACATTCCCTTCGAAAGGTGCGCAGGGGTTTCTTGGGCGCTGACGTCACCCTCGATGCCTTCGATGCAGCGCTGCACAACCCGCGGCTCGGTGTCCACCAAAACCTCGACTGTCTCTCCGTGCCCGTTGAAGGGAGTCTAACAAATGGTTTGTCTCACATTTTCCCTAACAGCTCGAAACAGGGTACCCTCGAAAAGATGCTCAAATGCGTTAAACCAGCTTCCTTCAAAAAGAATGGTTTGGTCTAGACATCTACCCTCTACAAGAAGGGGTTCAAACCCCCCAACCACCAATCCAAACCACCCACTCAGATTCGGTTGCCTCGGCTATGAATGGGTTCCGAACTCGGGTGCAAGCGATCGGAACCTGCTTGTAAGCCGTTCAACGGGTCCCCTGAGACAAAGGGAGGTCATGCGTAGGGCAAGTAGGGGCGGATGGGGGCGGGGGGGCGGTGGCTCTAACGCCTCCCCTTTCAGGAGGGAGCCCCTTTTGGTTCTCTCTGAATTTCCTTTTGACCCTAGCGCCACTTGAGGCAAGGAAGCTCCAATTTTCGCATTGTTTTCTTTTCTGGGGGGTAAAGGAGGTACCATCTCTGCCTGCACAGAAACTCTGGTAGAGGACCCAGGTGTCTGCCCTACAACACCCTTTGGGTTTCCTTCTGCTATGTGACCTATGTGCAAGGAAGCGCTTCTTCGAATTCCTGGGCGTCCTAAAGTGGGGCACCACTTGAGGTGTCAAGGGAAGCCATAAACGTGAACAAAGTCTGGACTTCTGAGCAAGGGGCGTCTCAGCGCCAATCTAAATCATGGCCCCGGTAAATGGAAAAACAACTAATCTAAACCAGCGGAACCCATGTATTTCTAGCCAAACTAACCCCGATCAAAAGGACACTGTGGGCAAAAGGAAGCGCTCAATCAACTGAATAAATTGAGACATTCGACGAAACCAGGGCCGCCCCACCGCTCTTGCGCACTTGGCCTGCAGGTAAAGGGGCGTTTCTCAAAATCGGAATCCCCTGAAGCGGGGGGTTCCTTTTGACTTTTCATCCCGCCCAAAGGAGGCTTTCTGCAATTTTGGAAACAAACGCTTTTAGCACGAGTGTCCCAAGGCAGGAGATGTTGGATGTGACAAGGAAATCCAGATTCGGAAAACAAAATCCAAGACCCCTCCATGGACAGAACACGAACCTCGGATCCCAAAGTTAGAGGCCGCACCAAACACACATCAGGTTTGGCTCTGTCAAAATGGCTCATATTCATATGGGTAGGGGTACCCCCCAAGATCACCTCACGACACTTTTTTGGGGTCCTCACAAAAAGGCACGTGGGTCGAGACGCAAGATTGGGATGTGATTGCCCATCAAAACATGCACCCCTACATTTGAAATTCCCAAAATCAAAATGCGGGGCATGCTGCTCTCAGTTTGTCTCATCCTCCAAAGGATCCATGACCATCCATGATGATTCTCCCCAAGATACATATCAATTGAATGACCTTCCCCCGAAGTTAAATGCGTTAGGCCCCATGCGTGGAATACTGCTTCAAAAGGAAACCTCCCCCGGAAACATTTACCAATGCTGTCCCCGAAACCCGGTGCACAATGACACGATAGAATACAGAAATACAACGAATGTGTTGCTCCTGAGCAGTGGGCTGCTGGCTCCATTCGCCCATCCTGGGTTTGGATGGAAAGAGGGGGACAAACATGTTCCGGACACTTGTTGCCCTAAGGACTCGAGGACATCTCCAATACAAGGGTTCTTAACAGCATGACGGAGAAGCCAACAAAACCTTCCTGGTAAGAAGTCCGAAATTTGGATCTGAATTCATATTTTGTTCATCAAATTCAGAGATGTTACCAAACCTTCACCCTGCCTGGCGTGCTTTCATCTCTGGCATTGGCCTCTGGAAGGAAACTCCCTCTCCTCTGCCCCGCGCGCGCCTTGGCATCGGAACCTCGGAGATCGCGCCCGAAAATGTCCCTTGTGTTTTGGGGGGATCGAGGGATCTATCCTTTCATGAGCAACCCCAACCCCCAACCCTGCCTCAAGTGGCCGTTGCCAGGCTGCCACGCCAGCTTCCTTCTCGATTGGTTTCAAACGAACGGTTTCAAATCCGAAACCAAACCCAATTCGCCGTGCGCCCCCACCTCGGATTGCTCGCTCGCAGAAGAAGGTCTTCTGGATGTGGTTGGACAGACTGTAGGGGGCTGCCTACGCGCGTGCCTCAAAGGCTGTGACCACCCTACTTGCTCAAGATGTACAGAATTTACGACCTCCATGGAATGGGTGATGTCTGAAGGTCTCTGGCACACGATTGCTCTCAAGTAATCTCCTCCCCCTATTAATGAATGACCCCCATTAATAATAAATGCAAATCCGGGGCCCGAGACCAGATTTCCACTCCGTACAATTGATTTTCAATTGCCCCAATACTAAACCAATACTAAAGTCTTGGAATCCTTATTAGGGGGCACTTTTAGCAAGCTTCCAGCTCCAAACAACCAGTAAACTGGTAAACAAATAGAACGATACATCAAATTTCCTTATTGAACCGCTTACTCGCGGACCTTACAATTCAATCCATTTCATCCAAATCCTACGTGAACCCTCACATTGTTGGAAAAGCAAAAAAACAACAACCCCAAAAACCCCAATTTAAAAATATATATATATATATATATATTTTGGGGGATTTATTTATAATAGGGGGGGGGGGCGTATTTATTAATAGGGGGAAGAGATTATGAGTCAAAATTGGACCCCCACCACCTTTAAAGGGATCTTTGGTTGCTCAAGCATGCTACGGGCTGCAGCATTTCTCCACCGTTAGCAAACAAATAAGGACCCAAGAGAGGGTTACGCTCATAGAGTCCCTTTATTTCAAACAACTGGGGTGAAAAGACCCATTGCGCTGCACCATTAGTCGCATTCTTTCAGCGAGCCTTAAACAGGTTCCACTCTGAGAACCTTATTCAGGAGACAAGAACTTGCCAGAATCGCAGGGTCTTGGCAGATTGTCTTCAAAAGGCCTCAGTTCCCTGATTGTTGGGGAAAAAAAGATTCAAAGGCGAAAGGCTGATCTATTTTCCATGAACCATCGTTCTTTGCAGCCGGCTATTTGCCCACTGTTTGCCCTTGGGCTCTTGGCAGCTTTCTGAAAAGAAGAAGCCCTGGAGGAAGTTGCAGACAGAACCCCCTTACACACACAATCCAGCTGATGTAAGCCAGAATCACTAGTTGTACCACACCTCGTTCGAGCTTGCCACTTTGGTGCGTAGTAACACAGCCAAGCAACCGTGGGCAAACATAGAAATCCCAGTGTCCTTTGAGCTTGTCGATTTGACGACGTGACTAGGTTCAGGGTTTTCTCTCTGGGATCAAACACCCTCCTACCCTTGCAAATTCACTCATGGATATGTATACTTATTCATTTTTGAACACTCAATGTCAGGTTGCAAGGGAGTGATGTTGGAACTCAACACCCCAACCACCAGGTATCCAAATCGCCATCGCCTGAGATTCCTGGTGCAGGGCCGAAAAGAGCTCCGCCCCCAGCTGGTTGCCACACCTCGGATCCACCGCCTGGAAGGAATCCCCATCCCTTTCGGCGTTGAAGGAAAATCCGACTTGTCCAGTTTCAGCATCACCTTTGGGGAATTTTGAGCTCCTTTTGAGTGTTGCTTTCAGCGACTGTTCACAACCGGATGAAGGGAAGACGCGTAAAGGACCTTCAGCTTAGGTGAGCTTCTCCAGATTCATATCCCCCCAAACCTGCTCGGGTGTCCCAAACCAAAGGTCCAAAACATGGCCCCATTGCCCAAATGCCGGCGCAGCCTCAGAACGCGGATGCCATGGGAAAAGGAATCGGCGCTCTTTTTACTTCAGTTTCAAGAGAGGCCCTCTCAAAAAAAGTTCAAAAGTTTAGACCCTCTCGAAATAAAAGCAGTTCAAACAAGTAAGCAACCCAACCCACAGGTCGCTGAACCGCCGCTTGTGTGGCGGTTTCTTACTGGGGCTCCCTACTGGCCCAGCTGCAAGGTCACCACAGACATTTCCTCTGTCCATGGCGAAACGGGCCCTACCCCCCGCGCCTTTTTCCGTTGAAAGGCAACCCGAATCAAAGGGCACTGCCGGAAGTCCTGGCAAACATCTGGACAATGGATTGGAGGCGTTTTGCGTATATTACACCGCCAATATATAGTTTCGAATGCATATATATATATACACAGATGTATAGATTTGTATGTCATGTGGCAATGACTTGTTTGAGGGCAACGAGCGACGCAGCGCGAATCTTGTTACGGAGGAATGCAACGCAAGTGTGCAAGGGGAAAACGGTAGCGCTAGCAGCGCAATGTAGCGCAAAACAGCAAAGTGCATATCCACAGCTCATCAATATCCATGCACAAACTGCCCACCAAGCAGTTTAGCAGTCCTCAATTAAGTTTGCAGCACGCGTGGAATGTCTTTCAAAGGCACTTGAAATAAATGAAGTGAACATGTCAATAGTTGACATCATCAGCCATAAGGTAAAGGTCAAGAGCAAGTCCTGGAACCCCCCCCTCCCCTTGCAGGAGAAACGCAACTGGGACTTCATGGGAGTGATTTGCAAACTACGTGGTGACTCAAACGGACTTCTTGCCACGCCTATTTTGGTTGGGTCTGTTCAATGGACCGATCATGCCCGTCCCATTCTGTTCCGGGATCTTCAAAAATTGCCAGCAGGTCAAGGGAATTTTGAGCAGATGGATGAGAACAATTGTGGAATGAACCGTGCGCAGGGTACTCTTTTCGGGTTGTTAGTTTTTCAGACCGAAGTAAACTTATCCTTTTGAGGGCTTTTTCCTTTTAGACAAACCCAAATCAAGGAACCCTTCCCCCCAACTCCAAATACCCTCATGCTTATTCATTGTGTGGGTATTTGTTTCTAAACAAACACGCACACACAAAACTAGTTTTCTATGGTAAATACCTGCTTTTTAGGAGGGTTGACATGATACCAACTGGGTATTTGGAGGGTAGAACTCACCTTCTCCCCCAACTCTCGACGCGCCCGTGTGCCTGCCATCGCCATCAGGTCGGCAACTTTCTTCCCCAGGCTTCAGACTTGAGCACATGGGTACTGTTTGTACTTGGATCCTTTCCCAGACAAGCCGACTGCATCCAACAGAACTGACCCATTTGGAGGGATGTGAGTAAATCTTGCATGGATTGGTTTGGATTGGTTGGGTTTGGTGGACAAATTTACATTGCGATCTCAACCTCGAATTCCACCAACCACTTTTCAGCGGTCTCCCTCAAACCTGTTGCCACATGGTGGTGATCCGTTTGACTCTTGCCTTCCATTTGCATGTTTGAAGCCAGCAACGCTTGAAGTTTTTCCGAATCACCATCTCCCTATAATCCAGCTCCTTTTTGGCCCAACTGCTGCTGGTCTGAAGTACCCTAAGCAAGCTAAGTGCATTGGTTGCTGGAGCAAAAAGGCGAAAACATGCAGAGTCGGGCGAGTCGGACTTGGCCCGAGTTCAACTGAAATAAGGGAGCCCAGTTTGGACAGGTCAAGGCAAACCCGAAATGAGACGAACTGATCTCCTAGGAAGTCTACTGTTTTCAAGCCCCCAACCGGCGCACGGCCCGCAGGGCACTCAATGGGACCAAACTCAGAGACAGTGAGACCCACCTAATATTATCCGAAACACAGGGGTTGACAACTCGGGGAAGCCGTCTAATATTAGGTCCACAATCAGCTGGGTCCTCCAAGGCTCCGTTCGATCCAAGCATGGAGAAAGCATCTTTTCTCATAGAAAATATTGGTGTGCGTGAGAAAATCAGGCCTCGCCACCGCATGGCTGTCTGCCATGGCCCTCACATTCTCTCGTGGCAATTGCTGAAATTTGCAGCCGTGCTTCTGCACAGGTGCATGCAAGCTCTCTGTAACCAACCCCCAACCCAGATATTCTGTGATATTGTGAATGTTTACAAGATCCGACAGGGTGAAACTTCGCCTCGCCGATGGCTCTGAAGAGCCCTCGTCGCTCAAGGAACGTCGGTCAGCTCTCCTTCTTCGGATCGGCCTGGCGCACGTCAACCTCCGTGCAAACCTTGTCACGTCAGCGCGTTTCCAAGTAGTTTTGAAGGTCTTGGCGGCAGCTTGACGGTTCTGTACCGCCAATTCAATACAGAAGCATTTGTGCTTTTAGACAGTACTCCTAACAACAATATCATGGTCGTACCTCCTGAACCCAAGCCTGGAAGCCAGTGTGAACCCCAAGCAAAGGACCATCAACGCTTCTTCGAGCGGCCTACCGCGTTCGGAAGCCGAGGCAGACTGGTTCATGTCAAAGTAAGACTGCAAACGAGCAAAAATCAGGTTAGGTGCTTTTGTGCCGCTGAAAAGGCAGGCTACAGGAGATGTTTCCCCGGGCGGCGCTCTTGGCTACCTGACAGCGAAAATAGATGGCCGAAAGCTTCCATCAGGGAAGCGGCCGCTCAAGAGGGTCACGATGTGCAACATGGCAAAGTGCAATGCGCAAGGTTCCCGGATGGCTCTGTACCGCGAAACATGCAGGTTACGACAGGGCAGTCAAAATGTATAAAAGGTGGCCGCACCAAGAATTGCAGCAGTGGCAGCCGAGGCAAAGGCTTAAACCTGCAGAAACGGCGATCGTCAGACGGCGAGTTCATAAGCGGGACAGTCAGCATGGGGCAGATTCGGGAGGTAGCGTGCAGCAGATGCGTATTCAAGAGAGGACGTTCCATGTGGCTGGGCAGGTTGTTCATAGCTTCTTGGGATGCAGGCGTGAGTCCTCCGAGCGACGCCCATTCATCATTGGCTGCGGACACTTAATTCAGCGAGCAGTCATCTCTGAGGAGAATTGCCAGATGCCGCGCACGGTGGGTTGGGGCAACGCTTGCACACCTGACTTGGCACAGTCGTCCTGCTTTCATCACTTCGGCGAAATGAGGGTGTTTTATTGAGGCTCGAACGCAATGACTGGTGGCCTGAGGATGTCTGCAAGCGCAATTGCGTGTAGGAGAGTCTCACCTCCAGGGCTGTTCAGACCTTGCCCTGTTCTCGATGAAAACCAGCTGCATGGGGAACTGATTGTCCACAGGTTCCGAAGTTAAAGAGCCACGAACTTGCGAGGTCAGCGTTCCATATAGATGGTGAGAGCTGAGCTGCATGGCAGGGATCGGAGCTGGTGCGGGATGCACCGTGGGTCCTGCTGTATGCAATTGCTACCTTGCAGTCATGGTCCAACGCAAAAGGGGTACGATTGGGATTCGCGCCCGGCCATGCGGAAAGGCGGGTGCATTGACACCAAAACGTGATGCACCTGCTTCAAAGTTGCGTTTGCAAGACGGGGGCGTGAACCGATGTAGACACCAAGTATCTACTTGATTTCCAGTTATGTTGTGGCAGAGAACCGAGGCCTGAAAGCAAACAATGCTACCAACATCAAAGGATTGATTGCATGCCTCAGCAATCAGGAGTGACCTTCGGCTGATTCTTGGGCCAGTTGTATGCTCTGCTGTCCTTCGCATGTGATTGACAAAAATGCCGTCAGATTGATCCGAGGCAGAGTCAATATCTAGTTCATGGCTCTTCCGAGGCGACCAGGCAGCTACAAGGTCACTACGGGAAAGTAGAGCCGAAACCTTCCCAAGCAAAGGACCTTCATCATGGGTGAGCTTGATTTACCAGGCGAGCAGGCTACAATTTCTGGATAGTTGCCCCCGTTTCTAGGGAACAACTGAACAGAACCTCTCAAGGAGCTTGTTCATACACTAGGCGGTTTCCGTCTTTCTCACATCCTGAGTGAATTGGCCAGCAAGATTCTAAACTGTTTGTTGCCACTGAAGTGGCAGTGCCAGAACAGTGTGGGCGTGTCAGACCACCCAATCGTCCAATGCAGCCCCGGAGCCCGCCTCGACCTGCTTCCACTGATTCTCCTCCAAGAACTTGTCTGAAGCAATGCTCGACCTCAGCGACGGAGCTCAACTGCAACAGCTGCTCCCAAAACTGCACCCACCAACCCACCCACCCACCCCACCCCACCCCACCCCACCCCACCCCACCCCACCCCACCCCACCCCCACCCCACCCCCACCCCACACCCACACCCCACCCCACCCCACCCCACCCCACCCCACCCCACCCCACCCCACCCCACCCCACCCCACCCCACCCCACCCCACCCCACCCCACCCCACCACCCACCCACCCACCCACCCACCAAAAAAACAACTAGCGCGAAATCATTTCCCTTTGTGGCCTGCCCTGGACATATGGTCACTTTCTGCAAGGAGGGTAGTGTCTTTGTGATTTTCCGTTAATCCAATCCAAACAAGCAAGGCTAACCTCCAAAACAACAAACACAATTGTTTTCTTGCAGGTTCTGAATAGTTCCCTTTTAACATCACCCCACCAAACGGAGACTCACTTTGAATTGGCAACCACAAGGTGAACATCTCAAGTTCCACCAAAAGCGAACGTATAGAACCCTCTCTTAAACACCTGATTTCTTGCAATGATCCAATTCTGCAAGCGGAATCATCGGAAACACTTGGCTGCATACATCGCTGCACCTATGGATGAAATAGGACCAACAATCGGGATAAACCAGCAGTTTCAAGCTGGTGCACGAATTTTGTCCAGTATCTGCATGACTCACCGGGTCAAATCGACCTTTTGGATGGGGTTAAAAAGCCAGACACAATCATTCGCTGCCCCGTCTGGGAGCCACTGGAGCTGTGAAAAATGTGGATTCCTCAACTGGGTGTGTCTTTTTCGCCCCTCTCCCACCAACAAAATGGTTGTCCTCTTGTTTTTTTGACTTGATAAACCAACAGAAAAGGAGGTACCCAGAACATACCACTCCCAGCTCGCAACGGTGATATTTGGGTCTTTGGTATCCATTTAAAGAACCCGGCAAAAGGTGGTTCCCTCCAAAAGAGACATACTGTTTCGGCTGTGGTTCAAAAACAGGTACCCTTAAATGGAACCCTGGTAAGTGGAGCCAGCGGTCCCCTGGTTTAATTTTGACCCATACCCATTTGGGTGTTTCTTTGCACGGATGCCCAGGGGCCCAGGGAACCACCGGACCCGCACTCTCTCTCTCTCGAGCCGTGGGGCATCTCCATGGCGGCCAGCATCGACGGCGGCAGGGTCTCAGCAAAGCCTCGGCCGAAGCGGAGACCTCCAGCCGAAACGGGCCACGAGGAGAATGGAGTGGTGGCGGCCTCGTCTCCCAAGAGACGAGAAAACACTTGCCAGGGCGCAAGTTGGGAATGGAATCCACAACCGTTGGTGGAATGAATCGGAAGGAGATTCCCTGAAAGGAAACCACAAGGGATTGTTTATGGGGGCCCTCATGCCATGCTAATAACCGGCAAGCCAAAGGGCGCATCAAGCGAGTTTGTTTGGCCCTTCCAAGCATTCACTTCAGAAACATTAGCCGCACTTCTTGTTTACAGCCAACATGATCTTCCCCAAAAAGTCTTCAAAGTTCAGAGACCGACGAAGTAAGGACACTATTTCCTGTAGATGGGCTAAGGAAAGCTTCTGTTTGTCCATTTCTTAGTTGGCACCAACATCTTTTCCTCATATCCTGGACCTTCAAACGTACCTGAAATTTCTGCCTCCCCTGTCAATCGGCTGGTTTTTGCAATTCGTACCTTGTTTTCTTGGCTTGTCCTCTTTTTTGGACCTTGAGCAGTGTTTGGAGGCATGCGTGCTCTGAGGTCCTAACATGACCTACTCGAGCAGAAATGGTGTGCAAAAACGCCCGCAACCCCGCAAAACGAGCGCAAAAACACGCAAACGAGCGCAACTTTGAAAAGTGCTCGTTTGAAAATATAAACCTCGGGCAGGTGTTCATTGCTCGGGCAGAAATTGAAGACTCGGGCACAAACTATGTATTCGAGCAGAAAAAAGAAAGCGAGCAAAAGAAAAGGTAATTATCAATGGAAGGTCCAGGATCCAAAGGAACCAATGTTTGTTCATTTCTTAGTTGGCACCAACATCTTTTCCTCATATACAGGAACACCTCCGGCAACCCAAAACCTGGCCGAGACTCCCGGGACGCGAGGCTCGCGGCCCAATGCCCTGAGGCCCGAGCTCTTGCTGCGACGATTGCTGGAGGGGCTTTCATCATGACGCGCACACTCCAGGCCCTGGGCCGAAGAAGAAAAAAAAAACGCACCGTTTTTTGTTTGGGCTTCACCCAAAAAGGGTGTCCCATTTTCCCCTTTCTTTGAAGCGGCGAAAGGACAAGGAGGTGCTCCTCACCGCGTAAGGTGGGCTGTAACTCTGAAATTCCTTCGACATTGAGAGGGTTGACTTGAGTCCTTTTGGGACCAGATTTGTAGGGTGATATGTCCCCTTGCAACGGAAGGAAACTCTGACCGTGGTTAAAATCCAGAGCGGAAGTCATCGGACAGTTCTTGAACCTTCAGACTCTGTTTAAGTGGCCCAACTAGGTTTCAACATCAGCTTGTCACAGGAAGTTACCTTCGATTTGTATTCACATTCCAAAACCTGAAAGCGCAATCGTTTCACCCGAAATCTCTTTGACCCGCAAAGGGCTGCGGGGCATGGGCATGGGTATTCCCCTCCCTAGAAATCCAGGACCATGGGTCGGGGATTTCTTCAGCCTGGGATTCCACCGGGAAATTGCTCGAACTCATCCGAGCTCCGAATAGCCAGGAGATATCTGGACATAGCAACCTCAAAGAGGTGATTTCTGAAGGGTGGTTTTCCCATGTGTCACAGAACTTTCTGGCTCTCAGGGAATGAGTTGGAATGACCCCGAAAAAAAAAAAAAAAAAACAAAAAAAAAAAAACATGCCCTATGGTTTCCGTTCAGGGAATCCCCTTCCGGCTCATTCAACCAACACCCGACCACCGGTGGTCGTTCCCTATCGCACCAGGAAAAAACCGCCTTGGAACTCTAAAAAAATGCTGCACCAAAGGCGCGCAGGCGTTCATCAGCTTCTGCTCCAGCGAATTCCTCGGCCCGGATTCGGCCAATGCAAACGCAACTGGCTGCGATAGATACGGAAGGGGCCTGACAAGGTGAAGGGGTGGTCGAAGGAAGAGGGGCCCGGGGATTGCCTTAAAGGAAACCATGGATGGGTTATCAGGGTCCTTCCAACTCATTTCCTGCTGAGAACCAGCAAGACCCAAAGTGGTGAGTTTATCCTGCACCAGTTGGGCTAGACAAAGAAGTTGAGTTTCAAGGTGAAAAACCAAAGGCAGAAGGGGCAGGAAGGAACAAGAAGTCGACCTTGCTTTTGTTGCTTGCTCGATTGCAAAGGGACCCCCCAAACAAGCAAAAAAAAAACACCTGCCATGGGACTCATCGGGCTTACGTGCGACCCGCAGCTGGACTCCGTCTTAGAGGGATTCTTTTCGCGGCTCCTTCCGTTACCGGAAAGGGACACCGCTCACCTCGAAACACCTCGCTGACCCTTAGCAGCCCAACGTCTCGGCCGGAAGGTGACCTTTTTCGGCCACCGAAGTTGGCCAGGCAACAAGCTTTCCCATCCCCCGAGAGGCAGCCGAGTGTCAGCATGTCCCGGGTCTCTGCCAGGTGACATGACTGTTCAACTGGAAGCTTCGCGGCCAACTGCTTCAGCAAGTCATCCATCCTGGCCACCAAAAGCGCCGCGCTTGGCGGAGCCGGCTTGCTGTGTGTCTTTGTTGGAGACGTATGAGTGCTTCTCACAATCCGGGACGCCCTGAAACTGGTCGAGTTCGTTCCCTGTTGAAATTCCCTTTCAAACCATGAGGCAAAACCTCGCAAGTGGCCTGACTATACGCGGCCGAAGCCCCAAGCAGTCAAGTTTGCATGTCGCGTTGAAGGCCTTTCCATCCGACAGGCAAGGCAACACCAACAAAGGTGGTCATGGTGTTTCATATTTGTGCGATGAGTTTTCCTGTACAATGGTCGATCCCAAAAGAGTCCCCGTTTGTTGCCATCACTGGGCTAGCGGTAGATTTGAATCGGAAGCGAGGGTGAAGCACCCGGCACCACCAAACAACTGGGGTTACACGATTCTGCTATGATGGTGACCTAAGTTGTTGCAGTGGTACTCAACATAGGCCCCCATGTAGAAACATGTTCGCCACACACATCCCAACTGCCAACTGCCAAGCCATCCGCATCCATCGGTCCTCCCCACGGTATCCAGGCTCTCCTCACCCACGTTCTGCCATCGAGCAATGGCAGCTGCCTGAAGGCTGAGCCGTTTCTTTGGGCGAGGCCAAGGTGGGCCCTTAGAGGGTAACCGCACTGCGTGGATGGGCCCGAACAAGCAACCAGATTGTTTGTGGCCCCAGCTCGAATGATCCAAATCCAAGGAGTGTGAAGTTCAACTCAGGGAGTCAGTAAACTAGTAGGCCTTGGGAGTTTCCGCCGGCCCAAAGGCTGGAAGTCACCTTCTCCAGATACGGCAAATGCAACGTGTCTTCCAGAGAACTCTCTGATTTGAGAGATCACCTCATGTTTTCAACAACTTATATTCAGAGAACATTTCGTGGAGGGGTTGAACATTGGAGAAACGTTTCCCGGCGCCGATGTTTTGCTTTCAGGGCTTCGGACACGTGAGGAAAGATGTTATCAACCTCGCGTATCTTCCCTTCAAGCCTCACCCCACCAAAGGGAAGCTCACTTTACCCTCCACCAACATGGAACCTCACTGAGGGCCCTGGAAGACTATCTTCCTCTGCTGGGTTCCATGTTGGTGGAAAGGCGGGCAAATGGCCCCAATGTGATGTTTATTGAGCTTGTCCCAGATCGAACATTGGGGACTGCCCATGAGCAAAAAGCGAATGGTCTTGGGCATGTCAAACTTGATCAAAGCGACCCTCGGGGCTTTGGGCACCTACTCCACGATGGGCGGAAGGCCTAGCGCAAGTGAACTCACATCATTCCTCGGCAAATTTGCGGCAGGGCACAGGCTTTCCTCTTGAACATCCTAAAATACTACTTTATTGGTTCACCCAACATTTTGCTTTTGGTCTTTAAAGGCTGGTTCCTTTGAATCACTGATAGTCCAGGCACATTGGGGAGTGACATTGTGGAACTCACTGATTCCAGGGAAGAGGGTGCATGCCCTTACTTGGCTCTTTTGTGGTTGTCTTTCCTGTGAAACCCCATGGAGGCAATAATTCTTGGGGAATGAAAAACCACAGGGTCGGCATCACGGTTTCCCCTGGTTAGCTACGATGGCTTGCCTGGAAGCGCTGGGCAAACAGATTGGTGCAGAAAGGCGCTGGACTCATAAACCCGTCCGATGAATAGACGGGGAACACGACCCCCGCCAAAATGATGAATTAAAGGTACGGGGCCATATGGAATTGGCAACCGTGGCTCAAATCTAAACATCTTGCCTGGGCCGCTTTTTCCTTAAAAATTGCTTGGCCCGGCCCCCAAAGTTTAAAAGGGGACATCGCCCGGTAAAAAAATCAGCCATCAGCTTGAAACAGAAGCCTGGTGTTTGCCGGGCACGCGCCTGCTCACGCTCCAACACCAAAGACCGGTGCCGCATGATGTCCTGAGCTCTTGTCCGCGGAGCCGGAAGGCTTGGGTTTGATATGGGTGGGTATCTGTTGAGGGTGCCTTTGTTGGGGGAGTTTTAAAGGAAAACCAATAGGAAAACTACCATCTGTTGTTCGTTGCATGTTGGTACAACTCATTCGTGAAAGGCATGAATGCGAGTCGCCTGATGCAGAAGGAACAACTGAATGATAGGGGTTATGAGAAAATAATGAGAATCCTGATTCTTGGTGCAGAAACCAAGCAAACCAGCCCAACTTGTCTGCTCCATATGACTGAACAAACATCCAGTGCCTCACTCGGACTTCCAAACATGGAACCCACCAGGCGCGAGCAGTTGGAAAAGTCACTCACCGGAAATAGGACACTCCTGTTTCGTCAGGGGTACGATTCACCCCGGTTCCCTCACCGGAGTTGCGCAGAGAGTCTCTCTTCCTACTCTCCGGCCAAAGGCAAAAACGTTTTTTGAACTCTTCTTCCCACCTTCCATTTGCTCAAGGCTATGAACTACCCATCGCCAACAGGGCAGAGGAGCTCCCAGTCAAACATAACCACCTTTTTTGGCGGGAGGCCTATAATCCAGTCTTGACCATTTCTCCTTTTCCAGCAGGGAAAGAAGGCATTGCCTTAACCTTTTCAAGGGCTGTTCAAATAGAGGTGCCTGGAAACTTCCCTTTTGCTGGCCTTTTGCCATCCCTTCTCGGTGGCACCCATGATGTTAAAGGAAAACCCGAACAATAAGAGAAGACGTGGCCTCACTGGAGGTTTGGCCAAACTGTAAGATGCGCCTTCAAAACATAATATGTCCACACGGGCGTCTCCTTCTTGAGGGGACACGCCAAATGGTTGTTTTCCTTTGGTGTCCCTTTGCGGACCACAAACATTGGGTAGCCTCAAAAAAAGACAGACCCCTCTGTATGCTTCATGCAATTCTGTTTTCAGAGTTAACACTCCCTCAAAAATGGTCGCTGGATAGAAGCATGTTGAAGGTATCTGAGAAACACCTTCAAGCCCCACTTGCTGAATCCAACAACAATGGTTCCAAGAAGGGGCAACTCTACCAACCCTATCGGCGTCTCCGTGTCACTTTGCATTTTCTCAGCGCGATGTTTTCTGAATCCCACTTCAGATGCTTCACAACATGGCCAACACATTTGGGCTCATGGATTTCTAGTGCCTTTTTGGGGTTTATGGATCTTGAGGTTCGAAGAAACTGCTTGCCGTATGGGAGCCCCTTAGACCCTAAAAATATGAAGGCATTTTTTGTCCAACCCCTTTGGGGCCTCAGTCGTGAGGTCTTGCTTCGGCTCCAAGGCTTGCATCTCTCAGCGGGGAAATGGAATAACCCTTATAAACCATCCAACTGGTGGTTTTCTTTAAGGGAATCCCCTTCCGGTGCATTCCGACATGGCCATGGGTCAACCTCCCGTACCCCCAGTGAACATCCCCATCCCCACTAAAAAGGGTTCTAAAATGGGTGGCGAATTCACCCAATCCCCACAATGGGATCCCAAAACGGTTTTGACCAGGACCACTTCTGTGACACAACAAAAAGGGCTTCTCAAAGACAAGCCTGCCACATACAGAGGACAATCCCTTGTATCGCAGGAGTGGGGAAAAAAACCCGAGTGATCCCACAACCCTGCGTTTTGACCACCACAGCCACATTTTTTGAGCACCAGCAAGCTCCACTGGGGCCAAAGGGCCATGACCCGCTGCGCGGAAGCCCAGGTCCAGCCTTTGAGGCTGTGAAGCTCCCCATCCTCGCGACTCGCGGGCGCTCGCTCGGGTGCTTGGGTGGGCGGGGAGAACCGGTGATGGGAATGCTGCGCCCGGCTTCTCCTTGGTTGTTTTTTGTCTTCTCTGCTTTTTTCTCTTCTTCTTTTTTTTCCGAGGGGGTCATCCATTCATCTGCTGGATTGTGTCCATCCGCAGTATTGACGGATGGATGCTCAAACCAACATGGCTCTCAAACCCGCTGGTTTCGGGGTCCGATCGCCTGCAGAGGACAATCCTGTAGAATCCGAAAGGAAACCAAATCCATTCAACTGGTCACTCAAAACAAGCCAATAAACTAGAAGCTCACACCGGTTGGTACCTGAGTGGTTGTGGAACCTTCTGTGATACGGTTCAGTGGGCGTTTCCATCCAACCATGACTACTTGATCACTTTGAAAGTTCACAGAACATGGAACCAACAACCAATCTGCTAAAAAAAATGACCATGTCTATGAATAGGCACGCTGGAATCAAGGGCGAAGGGGAAGGCCAATGAAATACCCAGTACAACCATCCCCAAATCCCATCCCCAAGCGGGAGAAACGCGGCTCCCGCCCCTCCACTCACGATTTCTCTTGTGCCGACAAAGGGAACATATGGGTGTGATCTTTGATCGAGAACCCTTTGGTGAACACTATTTCGGTGGGCATGAATCTCATCCACTTTTGACCTGGTTCCCCAGTGAAACTCACACCTGTATACGTGACAGTTTCTACACCTGTGAACCTTTAGTTAATATTTTAAGAGAAACCAAAAGGAAAAGACACCATTTGAGGGGACCCTGAGACAAGATGGGAAAGGTTTGTTGGAGCCCACTGCACATCGGCTTTCTGCCTTCAAGTCCATCGATGCGAAGTCGCTGATTGGAAGGCCTCGCGGGAAGAAAGGATGCGATCGTGACATCCCGCAGATCTCACAATGCAGCTGGCTTTCAACTCGGCCAGACGTAGATCTGCAATAGGGGAACATTTGTCGGTCGACCGGCGGAATGGAGGAACACCAAAAAACAATGACCTGTTGAAAGGGTAAGTCTTTTGGTCTGGCAATCTATGGGAGTGCTCGGCTTGCGAGAGCTTTTGCATGGATTCGGCTTCCGCATGTGTGAACCCTCTGCGGGCTTTGGGTGGGTCGACCTCAAGCAACTCGTGTTGCTTTTGTGTTTATGTGTTTCAGCTAATTGAAGCGCAAGAGAGAGGACGCCAAAACACAAAGAGAAAGACACAGAGAAAGAGAAAGAGCAAGAGGAAGACAATGAGGAAGAGGAGGAACACAAAGAAACAGAGACAGAGAAAGATAAGAAGGACAAAGACAAGGAGGCAAAGACAGAGACAGAGAAAGAGAAGAGGAGAAAGATAAAGAGAAAGAAGATAAAGATGAAGATTCAAGATAAAGATACAGGGAAACAACAAAAATAGAAAGAGAGAAGGATGAAACCAAAGCGAAGCAGAAAGATAAAGAGAGAACAAAGGAGAAAGAGCAGGAGACAGATACAGAGACAAAGACGGAGACAAAGAAAGAGCAGGAGGAAAAAGGCAAAGAAGAGAGTACGAGAAAGAGACGCAGAAATAGAGAGAGAGAGAGAGGGAACGAGAAGGGGAAAAGAAGTGTGCTCCAAACTATAGCTCTTTTATGGTGGAAACGTCCACCCCCCGGCTCTGCCGGACTTTAGTGGTAGTTTCTCCAAGTAGTGTATACATCCATGCGTTTTGGTCTTGGAGTATGTTCGCAGGTATGTTTAGAAGGTATGTTTTTTTTTTTTTGTACAGAGCATTTGTAGGTGAGGATCGTGTTCTGTTTCGGGTAGATCAATCGTGCCTCCCTGTCTCATGCCTTTTGCCAGGGTTTTGAGAAAGGCCCAAATGCAAAAAAACACATGATTATAAGGGTTTCATCCATCCCCGGCGTGGAGGTTGTCCATCTACATGGCCATGGTTGGATTTTTCATGCGGACCCGGAAATTGGTCCGACGCTCTCGTGCCTGTGCATAGAGCCTCCATACAGTAGAGGTGGTACATGGTGAAGAGACCCCTGGCACATCCCCCCGATCATTTCGAACAAAAGGATGGAGGGCTGGTAGACACGTTGTTTCCGCCCACAAAGAGAATCATATCATCCTCCATTGTAATGTTTTTCGGACCTCAACAATTGCCATTTTGAGTGCCGGTTCGATGCGGAGCACTTGCCCTTTGGACCTCTCCCTGCGAGCCACCGTCCCCCATCATGGACCAAGTCTACCACACTGGGCTGCCAAATATTGAATTTCACCTCTACCCTCAAAACAACCTGCTCGACATGCTCGTGCACGTTTGGCAGGGTTGCCAAACCAGGGATCCTAGGGACAAATCCATGACAAAACTGGGCCAGACATCTGGACCCCCTGAGGACGGTCAACCTTTTGCTGCTTGACATGGAAGCTGAAGCAAAACCAAAAAGTCAAACATGCGAGCTAAGTCTGGCAAAGCCAAGAGACTTAGCAAGCCTTCAGCTTCCCTCTACTTGGTGGTTTCGATTGGCGGTTTGGATTGGTGGCTTGGACGTCGGGGGGGGGGATTCCCACGTGCCATTACAAGAACTGGGAGTTCAATCCCCAAACCAATCCACACCACCAACTAAGTACTACCTGACGTCTTTACCATCGCACCATCGCGGCACATGTTGACCGAACCGGAGAAGTCGCAAAGAGCACGATCAAAGACAGACCTCAAATGGAAAGGAGGAATGCTGGTCTTCATCCTGAGGCGGAGCTCGTGGGATGAAAACCCACCTAAGAGGAGTCTCCCTGCACTGCTCTGTTCATATCCTCCCATGGGAAATCGGAACACGTAACAACAAGTGGAAGACAAGATCCACTGCTGTGTGCATCTCTTCTCCAAAAAGGCACATTTTCTCATGGGCAATAGGGAAATGGAACCACAAGTCTCTTCCGCTTAAATCAAAACAGGGGACCAAAAAAATGTGGAAATGGGGCCAACAAGGAAAGTCAAGAGATCACAGGGGGTCCCCTCCCACTTTCGTTGCCAAAGGCTTCGGAGCGCGGATCTTCGCTCCGGGCCTATAGGAAGGAGACTCCTCCACGTCATGCCGCTGTTCCACAAATTCTCGGCGCCGCGGTGCGCGTGAGCCGAGCAATTCTGAAAACATTTCACACGCAAGGGCCATGGGAAAACGGGGCACCTTTTTCTTGGTGGTTGATGCTGAGCTAAAACCGTCCAAAAGAAAGAGAGAAGAGAGAGCAACAAAAAACAAAAAGCAAGAACAAACACAGAGGCACCCCTTGAGGTCAACCGGGTTGGTCGATTTAGCACCTCCTGCGAAAACTTTGCTAGTGAGCAACGGCCAATATTCACTTCCCCAACTGACATGGTCACCAGGTCCCAAAAAAGAACTCCGCACGCGTTCGCTGGAACTTGGAACCTGACAAATCTATAAGCTTGGGGCCCGGCATTCAAAGGGTTGGGTCGTACATGGGAAGGCTCTGGATCTCAAACAAGTGCCTTGCTGAGTGCCCAAGATGCTTAGCCTCAAAACTGCACTTAGGACGCCTCAAGTGAAATGGAGGTTTGTCCATTTGGTTTCACTTTGAAACCAATCAGACAACGGGCCCCCCGGCCAAAACCAAAAGCAACATGAGTAGGCAGCTCAGCTGCTACCTGGTCTTATGGTGGTTATAGCAAAACCCTTAGAGTTTCAGAACCATTGAACAACACAAGTCAATAAGATTTGGGCACTGATTTGAGCAATGGTCACAATGTACTGTCGTCAGCAGCAAAAGGGATTGTACGGGGTACACGAGGCCCGACAATATGTGGACTTGGCTAAAATGCCCAGTGGCCATGGGAAAAATGGGCATCCTTTGTTGGTTGGTTGAGTTTGGAGCGGAGCCCTTCCCCCAAAAAGGAAAAAAGGGCGCCACTGGGCAACTGTGGGGTACATACCAGAATCCCCTTGGATCAGCAACCTTCAATCTGCCAGTTGAATTCGGACCCAAGAAAGGTTGCCGGAGGCTGCGGGAGCACCTAGGGAGCCCAGAGATCTCTTCTGCTGCTTCGAACTCCTGTAGAAACGTAGAAACATGGTAACCCTGAGCGAAGTTCAAGAAAAACCTCACCAAGTTTCTACCAGAGGTCTGGCCTTCCTATATACTCTTCAACTTGGTCAGTGTTCAAGCAAGGATTTAAGCTTTTTCTACTATAAGGTCAAGGATGCAAGACAGGGTCTCTATATGTCCCCTTTAAAATCGCACCAGGACAGTAGATTCAGGTTTCCAAAATAGTACACCCGGGTAAGGAACCCCAGTGTGTCTTTGTCTTGGGAACCCCTTTTGTGGGATGGTTGCAAAGGGAAACCAAAAGGAAAACCACTACTTTTTAGGGGTGGCCTAAAAAAAGACAGGCCCAAAAGAGTTTCTGAATGTTTCTGAACATCGCTTGTGGGTCGCAGTTTGACGGACCCGGCGCCATCCATTCGACTATCCGACTGCCACGCGGCGGAGTTCGTGAACCTGTACTCCCGAGGGCTCGGCGTCGCTGAGCGAACTTGGTGCGCGTTGGGCGCGAAGCGCCAGCGCAGGGTCAAACATGATTGCCCTTGGGCTCTCCCTTACACAAACGAAGAAGAACAAGAAACAAAGAACGAAAAACACAGGAAACAATTACAGACAGAAAGAAAGAAAGAAAGAAAGAAAGAAAGAAAGAAAGAAAGAAAGAAAGAAAGAACAGAATGCCCGGCAACAAAGGAACACCCATACCCCCCCCCTTTTGACTCGCGACGGCCTCAAAGCCTGCAAGCAGCCCTTGGTTTGAATATCCGCTCAACCCACCACGGACTTTGAGTGCTGCTGAGAGGCGTCTTGTCGTTCATCCTCGGCTCTGTTTGCTTTTAACATGCCGAAGACCCGATGATGCACAGGGGAAAAAGTCCTCTGGGGGAAAACGAAGGAAACCAAAACTCAAATCACTTTTCCACATTTGGGAGTTGATCATCTTTGAGAGACGTGGAGCACAATTCCCTTTGATGCACAGTCAAAGCGTGAAAGCGGAAAGCATCCGACAAGGGGCACAAACAAGCAAAGCAGAATGTGCGTGCACTCGATCCGGCAACTGTAGCACTACCGTCACCGCTGTTGCTTTGTGTGGGAGCTTGTGAAACTTGGATTGACAGACTGCCAGCCACAAAAAGTGTAAAATACCTTGGACTTGTTTGTGCAATTCACAGTGGCTTCAGCCCAGCGAGGTCACACCTCCTTCAAAGCTTGTCATTAATCGCCTTTTTCATGCGATAAACAAAGACATGAGGACGCGAACTGAACCATTGATACGGGACACATGTTACAGCAACCACTTTCGAGGGGGTTCTGACTCTCAAAATCCATCGATTTTGGACGAAAAGATGCCGCGCCGGGGGGCCGGTAATGAATGTCCACGACGTTGCTGAGCTGCTCCGCCACCAGCGCCGAAGCGGAGGTGCTAAACTTTTGGAGGTCATAGGGCATGTCCTTCCTCATATCGGGCTTTGCTCGTCAGGATAGACGGACCCAACCTTTTACTGTAGGGGCCCACGACAAAGCGACCAACGGGTCGCGCCTGAGAAGAGCCTTGCTTCCCTGACCAAGCTGCTTGCCAGGGAAATCCCAAGGAAAGCCCACCCAATTTTGGCACATACCAGAGCGCTAGCAGGCACCGACCTCCTCTCTGGCGGGTCGCTCGAACTTTTCACATGCACACATCGCTTGAGGAATCTTTTGGGTAAACGCCGCCCCCGTTCGGGTTCCATGTCAATGTATACAATTGAACATGGATCAAAGTCATAAGCCCAGTTGCCGTAAGCTCAAGGGCTTTGCACATTGCAATGGCTCAACAGCTCCAAGGCTCTCTGCGACCGAAAGCTTGACGAGAGAGGGAATGTGTCAAAACCAGTTGGAGCCCTGGATGAGTTGAAAAGGACACATCACAAGTTCAACTTGCGAAAAACCTGGACACACAGCCAAATGGGTATGTGTCAAAATAGACGGACCCCATAAATGGGTTGGGGGCAATTGCAATGCCGACCTGTAAACCAACCTTAAGGGTACCCTGAAAACATGCAGCCAAATCAGCGGCTGTCATGTTTGAGAGATCCCGGCAACCCTTGCCTAGCCCTCACTCAAAGGACCTACCACTCGTAACCCCAAGCAGGTTTCGTTCTTTCCAAGGCAATACTGTGAAAGTGGTGGCGCTTTTTCTGCAATGTGGAAAAAACAAAACAAAAAACAAGTCCCTTCCTTGTGTCTGTGAAAGGAGGGGACTCCCAGTGCCAGGCTATCACTACGTCTGGGTCCATTAAAGTGACCGAGTCTTGTGGTATCAAAGCCACTCCTGGAGGTGGCTTTGCGGGTGCAACCTTCCTTGGCCAGAAGTTGATCACAAGGTTGACTTACTATTTACTGCCGGTCCCAAGGGACATCAAGACGGCCGAAATGGTTAGTTCAGTCTAGCTAGGATTTACTTGGCCAACATCTGCAAATGTGGGTGCCAACAAACTGATATGTTCATATCATGATCCATATTCAGTCCACCCAAAATGAGAGCCAATTTTGGAGGAGACCCCAGTACTGGGTTTCTCTTTAGCCCTGAGCAAAAGGTCTAACATTTTGTCGGTTTACTTGAACTGCCATTTGTTTCTAAAGGTCTAAGAACCGATCCGGTCACTCCCGATGGACCCGCCATGAATAGCTTCCATTTGCTCAAGTCCCCCAGAGAAAACAAAGGTATATGTAGTCCGTGTAAAACCAACCCGTGGAAATACCAACATAGTCTTTACACAATGATGGTTATATCGACCCAACCATTCTTTTGATGGTGGCAACTGAACCCAAGAGCTCTAGGCTAAACTGGCAGGTACTGGGTGTGTGATGTTCGAGGGTGCCTGTGTTTGCGGTTTTTAAAAGGAAGCTAAAGGAAAACCAGCGGCGCCGTTTGGAACGTTTGGAGTACCCTCAAACAAAATACCCCAAAATAGTCGTCGGCAAATGAAAGGCACTGGGCCCTTCTTCCGGGGCTCAAGGTCAGCTTCATGGCGGGCAGCGTGTGGGTCACCCGCCGCTTCCCATTCAGCAACTCCTCGAGGCGATGTGGGCGGTCCTTTTTTAGGGGGTAACCCCCTTGTTTGTGGCTTTGAGGGGGAACCAACGGGACAATCACGTTCGTTGTTTTGTTTCTTGTTTTTTGAAGAACAAAAACTGTTTGTGCTGCCTTTCTTTATTTCTTTTTTTGGAGGGAGGGGGGGCCAAAAGGCTCACACCTATCTGGCTTGTCTTGGGTTCGTCTCACCCTTTTAAACCAACTCCAACAAGGGCACCATCACAAAAAGAGAAGCCCTAGATACCGGACCCCTGGTTTTTTGGCTTGGTTTCAGGAATGGGCAAAGGAGCGAAACAAAAACGGCCAGTTCTAGCCAGAAACAAACGAGCAAATGAGCCAGTTGAGGCCAAATAGTATATTAGGTGCCAAGTTTAGCCTTTTGCGTCACCACCCAAAAAGTCGTTGGCTCGGGCACACCCGCTCGAAAACTGGATGTTTTGCTTTTGCTTTTGCTTTGAGCATCTTTCAGACGGGTGCCCAATCTCAGAACATACCTGAGAACTCCGTCGGGCTACAATGAACGCCGGACGGGAACTTCTGCCGCCGCAACAAAAAGACGCCGTTGAATTCGGAAGCAGGATCGGAAGGTAGCAACATGAAGCGCTGAACACAACGCAAAACTGACTTTCGCCCCCTTGCAAGGCGGCTTTGGTCGATTTGTGACATCCGGATCACTCCTTATCCAAGATTATTTGAAGAACTTCATCAAGAAAGCGTTTGCGATGCTTGGGCTCGAGCTCCGCCGTTGGGACGCGCATTTCCGCCGTTGGGACGCGCGTTTCCGCCGTCGGGACGTAGGTTCCCGCCGGTGCAAGTCAACACATTTGGCGGCAAAACTAAATGGGTTTTCCAACAGGTCGCATCGAGTTTCACCAACTCGCAAAACCTAGCGCAAAACCTGGCAAAGGTGCGCAGATCTTGCAAAGCAGCCCACGTCAGGCAAAATGTTCATCAACCGCAAAACCGCCGTCGCAAATTGAAAAACGCCGCCACAACCCGCTCCCCTTCGAGTTCCGCCTCTGGACTGCAAAAGGCGCCTTTTCGAGTCTGAGGATGAAATGTTCGCCTTTTGGAGATTATAGGTATGACATCACACACGTACACATTGGGTCACATGAGCCACACAGACAATATTCGATCAGTTCCTCCAGGGAGATGGATTCGAGAAGCGCCAACCCAGACTTCAGGTGGGCGGGGGGATAAAGGGCTCTGAGGTTCGTCTTGCGGCGCTACTGTTCCGATGTGGCTCTTTGTTTGGAAAGCTCCAAAGTGGTTTGCGAAAAAGAATCCCCACAGAACTCTGAAAAGACAACACCTGCAAAAGCAGCAAAGCGGGACTCCGGGCTGCTCGATGTCCGATTTGGCTGTGGGTCAAAATCCCGTACCCCCAGTGAACATCCCCATCCCCATTAAAATAAACTAAACTGAGTGGTGCACCCACCCCAAAATGGGATTCCATTGGTTTTGACCACCACGGCCATTTTGCGCCAAGTCTCCGCCCAGGAGCTGAAGAGGAATTTCCCCTTGAGGCTGGGCTCCGGCGACGTTACCCGGAGCTGCAGGACGTGGGTGACTCGCATCAACCTCGGGCCAACAACCCCGTGTGGACCCACTCCCAGTGCTTCCAGATACCATGAAGGAAAAATTGCACTGAGGGAAACTTGTGATTCACATTTCTCAGTGTCTCCAGGCAAGCCATATTGAGAGGATACCATCGTGTCGAAAGGATCCGAAGGGCTTCCTACAGCAACTGGAAGCACTAAAATTGCGAGGCTCACTGCAAAAGGCCCAAAGCCAATTAGTCAAAATCTTAGGGACCCCCAACCAGACCTAATTTGTCAAATTAGCCCTTCTGAAATAGCTCGAGTCTCAGGAAGCCTTGCCCCGTTGCCTGCTCCAATACGGAACTCTGAAAGGACAATCCTAGAATAATTTGGGGCATTGCGCGCGAGCTTGTATTTGTTTGTGTCTACTTGGTGAAACCACTCTCAAACAGGAGCCAGCATGAAACAAACCGTTTGAGGTCCTTACTACCCTCAAAAAGCAAAGTGTAAAATGGCTGGCTGCCTCCTGTGGGATACCAGTCCCACTCCACGGTAATATTACACCTGCATGTACCCTCCAAATGGGGCACATGTCAGTACTTATGTTGCCTACGTGGATCACGTGGCATGGATGTAACAAAAAAAACACCTGGCTTGAGCTGCATTGCCGCGTCCAAGGAGCATGGGCACCCCATCGTGGCGGCCCCAGAGTTCCAGCTGCGAATCTTCGTTCTCAATCTCTCTGAGCAGTGACTCCACGGACTTCAGGGTCCCTTTGCCCCATCTTTCCTGGGCGCAGCGACAGAAAAGAAACGTGCGTAGTTTTGCATTGGAGTTGGCGCCGCTTGTTTCGAGGGTACCCCTTTTGCGGCTTTGAAAGTGAAAGCAAAGGTAAACCGAGGCCATTTTGCGGGGTCCCAAAAACCTAAACCAGAACTAGAACTGGGCCGTTTTGGCCATCTGAATCTAAGTCTTCCTTAGCTTCCTGAATTCGGGGGAGCACTGGGGGATGGAGAAAGGAAGCATCCTTGCCCGCAAGGAGAGCACATCGACTGGCTTGGCAAGCAAAGTCTCGAAACAATTGACATCGCACATGACATTTCAACAAATGTCTCGGCAGGAAAAACCACACAAGCGCACTCCGGTCGCGCCGCAGTGTGAGCCTGGCAAGCCTCCGATCATAGGATCGTAGAACTCCCCCGTTCCCCAATTCCCGCCTCCGGGGAACAAAAACAACTAAAAAACAACAACAACTAGCAAGGTCGGGTAGGGGTGGGGGGGGTGGGGGTGGATCCTGCGCATGACAAGCGTCCATTTGCAGATCAAACTGCGAGAGCCATGTTGTCAAAGCGGCCGCATCTGCAAAGGAGCCTCACCATTTCCGGGCAAACTCGGGGCTGCGGCATTGCACTCGAGACACGGGATTCTCACAAAGAGCGCCTCTGGGTGGGTGGTTCTGAGATAAGACCCATCTAGCCTGTGCTCTCCACCCAAGCCCGCTTAAGCCTTGCCCGGCTGGCCTTTCCCCTTGGTCTCTTTCAGCTCACTTCCTTCGAAGAGGTAGCGCTGAATCTGCGGCCACCTGAGCAAGCTAGTGAAATCCGCGCTGCAAACCGAGGGGAAGGCAGGCATGGCGTGTGTCAGAATCCTCAGATCTTCTGCCAGAATGGGGGTAGGCCAAATCACTACAGTATCTTTCCCAAACAAGAGATGAGGAAATCCTGGAGCTCATTTTACGCTGCGGTGAGCTCGCTAAAACTTGAGGTAGATCCCGCCAGACGCAATCCACCGGGCTGCGTCTGAGTTCCCAACTCAAGCCAGACCCACGCGTGGATGTACTTCAGCTTCCGATGACCATCCTGTCGCCCCATAGCTCACTTGCCCGCTCGTTTTAGGTAGACCAGGAAAAGAGAAACCCACATAGCATCAAGATATCGACGAAGCGTGCCACCATCTCTGTCTGTATTTCCCGTGGTAAGCCGAGATGAGATGAGAAAATTATGCTATAGTATGATCATCGCCCATTAGCCAGGTCCTCCCAACATAGGTCCTCCAACAAAAAACAGTTTTGGCGCTGGGATGGCTGAGTGAAGATGATGACCGTCCTTCGACAAACACGAATTTGACATCCGGGATATTTAGGGCAACTCGCTTTGTCTCGGCCTCCGTCCAACCATCAAGGAAGTGGACCGGAAATTGAAAAACATCAGCAACTCAACAAAAACCTCATGTCAACTTCCGCTGCCCTTTTTGGTTCTACTCAGAAACCCCAAACGAAGGCAATGCCAGCTTTGCATCAAGGTGTTGTCTTTTCCCAACAGTATATCTGTCCCTGGACACCCCCCCAGGGCAGTTGCTAATTTGATCTTCGCCTATTCAGTATCCATGACCGGAGGCACGCAAATGCCTTGCCAACGAGACTGTGTCACTTGCGGGGATTGAAGTCCAGACGTTTTGGGCCACTAAAATAACCACATTTAAGTTGTAGAAGTATCATGTACAATGTTTTGTCAGTTTGTGGAAACCCAAACGTGTTTGAAGTCCATATCCGTTCCCTTGCAAAGGGAGAATATGTTGGCAAGGTCGCTTTTTCGGAGGGGCGGGTGTTGGAACCCTTCCACACTGAAAGGGGGAGGTGATTGGTGAGTAGGGAGGAACGTTATCCGGGTCACTGGAGTTGACTACCACACTTGATGACTGATGACTTGAATTGCTGGCCAGATCTGCACACGTCGACAGCACATGAGATAGTCAGCGGAGCCTTGTCAGGATGCTCGAACTCAAGCGTGTTCAAGTCGGTCAAAGGCAGCCCAGTACAAATGATGTCGACGGTGTACAAATGATACATAGTGAGAAGTCCTGCGAATGCAAACATCTGCCGCGTGCGTTCGATCCCCGCACTCGAAAGGGGAATGTGCCAGCGGCCGTCCTGGATAACTCTTGGACTTCTCCAACTCGATGATGTGATCAACAAAATGCTCATCCACCACCTCACACGCGTCGAACTGTGTCAAGCTTAACGGAGTGCTACTTGCAATATCACCGTGCGGATCGGGGAAAAAAAAAAAAAAAACTGCCCCAAACACACCTCCTGGTTATGGGTCGGTCAGTTGGTCCCCAAAGGGTGTGAGAGGGTGATGCAAACCGGAACCTATTTCAAAAACAACTATTCAATGCGTCAATGAATCTCTCCAAATCCTGAAACAAATCGGGAACTTTCAAAAAGAAGCCTTCACGCTCAAACCGGCCTAGACCCCCATGGGGACAACAAAAACAGGCACCCCTTGTTAGGTCGTTGATGTTGAAGGGAACCACAAAAAAATACATTCAAGCTAACCAATTACCAAACACGTTTGCCGGTTCCCTGTGTTGGTCTTGCAAGTTGTGCTTCCTTTTAACTGAGAAACCGATTGTTGGTAGTTCGGCCAACAGAAAAGGCAACACAGCGCATCACTAGCGCGCGTCATGAACTCTGCATTTTCTGTGATTCCAAAGTGGGGCTTCCCATCCCCACAACCACTTCACCTTGCACAAAAATGGGCCTGCAGCCCCATTTTCCTGAACCAAGCTGAAACCTTTGGTGAGGTCTGGCTGTTTTTGGAATTTGCCCCCACTCAACTCCGTACACGACTTTCGTCCGCGCCTCCAGGGGGCATTGGTAGCTGGGGTCGTAGGTTGGCGCCGGTCTTAGGGCACTAATCTTCCTCGGGTCAGAAACAAAAAATGCCTAGACCTCCGGTGTCATGGGAACAAAGCTGCTCAAGACTTCAATAAATACCAAGCACGACCACTTGGGTGACCCATCGAATTGGTAACAAATGGGATGCGGAAGAAAAAAGAAACAAACAACACGGTTCAACTTTGATGCAAGCAACCGTTGTTTGAACCTGCCAAACAAGTCTCATTTTAATCGAGGGCAAAGATGTAAGATTGTCAATTTAGTCTTTCATAGATCTGTTCTGCCATCTATGGCAAAAATGTAAGCTACCAAACGCTGACCTAGCTTCATGGTCGACTCCACCACCCGCTGCATCTCTTCTTCCGTTACTGCCCGCCGGCAAACCTGGGAAGTTGCTTGCTCGGAAACACGTGAGTATGTCAAATGGTGGTTTGCCGCTAAGTCCTCAAACAGAGCACTCTCACGTGAGAATCTGATGAGGCCATCAAATTTCGGCAGCACCTCCCTTTTCTTGGAGGCTTCAGGTGCCTGCTGCCTGAGCACTTCCCCCCCACATCCTGGTACAACTTGCTTTTGCACATATATGGGTTTGTCTCAAAAAGGCGGGAGGTTGTGGTTTGAAAGGAAAAACAAAAGCACTCACTTTGAGAAACACCCTTATCTCTGCAGCCTTTGAGCATGTCCACAATGGTATCAAATCGACTCAAATCGAGTCTAGGCTTGCCCACAAAAAGGGTGCCCCCCCGGTGGCCCCGGAGGGGATAATCCCCAACCCAATATCAGAATTCCTCATCTCAAGTTGGGGAGTCGCGGTTCCGGGGGCCGGGATGTGAGCTGCGATTCAACGAGCTAAGCCTAAGCAATGGCTGCGGGAGCCCCAAAAATCGGCTTCGATCTATCAAAACCCACAAAGCGCAGTTCCCTGGAAAAACGTCACCGCCCATTGGCCGTGCAAATAGGGGTTCATTTGAAAGGTCAGTGAAATTAGCGTTTGGTCCCCAGCTTTGCAATCAAACCAAAATATATACTTCGAACCGTTGCTAGGCAACGAAGCGTGAAGGCCAGACTTTGATGCCCTGAGCAAAGGTGAGCTTGTTGCTAGTCAGAGGAAAAATGAAGGACACCCAAAAAGGCCAAGGACAAACAGGTAACCTAAGTCTGGCAAGGTGTGCGGGTGTGCGGATCCGTGATACATGCCGCTTGAGCAGCACCTGAAACTGATTGCAAGCCACTGCAGGCGCTCGCGGTTTGCTTTCCGGCACCCGGCAGCTGGTGATGGCTGCGCTTGAACTCACGCTGGGGGTGCGGAGGGGTTTGGGGAGAGGGGCAACAACATTCGGCTGTCAACTGCGCGCGTCCGGGAGGCTGTTAGCATGTTGGGTGATCCCTCGGCCAGATATGTCCTTTTGAGGCGCGTTGCGCGACTTTCTTGCACGCATTCGGCTGAGCACAGCGTGACTAGCGAGTCGAGGTAGCCTCTGCGACAGCGGGCTCTGACGACAACCTGGCCTTTGTGCAGTCGGTGGGGTCGTGCAGCTGCTGAGGCGCCACAGACTTCGTGTCTGTGCCGTCATTAGCGACGCTGCTACGAGACCTTTGGATCGGCCATGTGCAAAAAATCACAAGGCGCCTTGCCAGCGCAGGAAACCGCCGCTGCCCACTGCCTACGCCAGATCTCTTCTTGGCCGCTGCTTGCCCGCGAGGCAGCCGCCAAGCCAACCGTCAACGAAAAGAGCTCACAACTCAGATTGACGAAGTGACAGCATTCAGAAAGTTGTCCAAAGTCTGCAGAACGCAGGCCATTGACCGTGAACACCGCACGGCTCCGACACCCCAAGGGTCAGACATGTCAATGTGCATCTGAAGCCAAACTTGCCAACTCGGGGGAGTGCATTTGTGGGGCATGGGCAGCAGAGCTGCGCAAGTAGTGGTTGGTGGAGGCTTTTTCTGCTAAGCCAGAACCATCTGAGAAGCCTGTGTTTTTTGCGCTTGAAGGCCTGTCGATGCCAGGCGACAGGCGACTGGCGCAACCGTGACCCACTAGTTACCCCATCCCCGTCCCCATACCGAGCTACCCCACCAAGAAACGATGTATTTTCCTTGGGAGACCCTCCAAAATGGCTCCGGTTTTCGTTTTTTGCTTTCCTTTGATACCAACCAAAAGGGGGTATACCAACTGAAAAAGAAAAAAAAGAAGACAGACTCAAATGGGGTTTCATTCCCCAGGCCTCATGGAGGTTCTGCTCCAGAGGCATCTCGTCCGTCGTGAGCTTCTCCGATAGGAGGCCGTTCCTCGTACGTGTCCGGCCGTCGCCGTACTGCTGCCAGGTGTTGAAGAGGAAGATGCCCCGCTGGTATCTGTCGGGCGACGTGACCTCCAGGGAGAGGCAAGGAGGTCTTATGAAGTGGGACTCTCTCTTTTGCATGGATATCTGGATATCCCCTGCTGGACATCTTGTATGAAGTCGGACCCCTTTGCCCCCCCTGGATCTTGTTAGCCCCCTTTTCTTATTTTACATGGGAGGCTACGAAGGTGGAACCTTGGCTCCTTGGCCGGAACACCAAGTCTTTGGGGAAACCCTCGAAAGGCCTTATTCATTTGACAGGGATCCCCTCCAGATCGGCCATTTAGCGGACAATCTGCGGGAAGCCTTGGGAAGGCTTCGGGGAAGCCTCGAAAAAGCCCAAGGGAATCAGGACGGGAGTTGGGAAGCTTTCGTAAACCCGGGAGGGAGTTCTCGCCAATGCTAGGAAGGTTCTTAAAAAAATCCTGAGGAAGTTTCTAACTGGAGGGCGGGGAGGTGATGCAATGTCATAAATATACACTCCACTGGCTACCCTGATTCCAACACTCATAGGGAGCTTCCCATTCATTCATCCGTTTGTCTCTGCATCTTTTTGAGTCCTTAAACTATATACTGTCATTTGATATGAGTTGATTTCTTCCAACATCAAGGATTCATGGTGTTGCCTCGCAGCTTCCACGGTCTCCAGGCCTTGGCTCGCAGCACGTGGGTGGTTCTCACTGGCTGCAAAGAGCCATCAGTTGTCCTCCAGACCTCGAGACCAGCTTCGTTCAGCTTGATCTCCTGAGCTTCAGGCTGCGATAAGTAAAAACAAAAATGGCCCAGTGGGCTGCGAGTGGGGAACCCGCAATCCGAGGGGCAAAAAATATACGAATATTTGCCCCGTTTGGAGTTGGGAAATGCGGGTAAATATCCGCCGACATTGCTCGGCGTGTCGGACACCTAAGAGAGGATAGAGGATAACCCCCCCCCCTAACCCCCCCCCCACCCGACGTCTGATACGTGGGGGGGACCGCGCGGCAATTTGATGACGTTCCACTAAACGTAGTCTTCGGGGACCCGGTGTCGCAAAACAGGGGTCCCAGGCTCGATTCCCCCTGCCGGCTTTTTTGCTGGCTTGGGCTTCCTGCATCCTTTTGCCGAAAATCTGGAAAAACTCTGTGTTTTTGGACATCATCTTTGCGAAAACGCTGGAAAAACAGTGTTTTTTGCGGGAAATACTGGGGAGCAAAGGGGAAGTGCAAGGATACATACATACATACATACAGACATACATACAGACAGACAGACATACACATACATACATACATACATACATACATACATACATACATACATACATACATACATACATACATACATACATACATACATACATACATACATACATTACATACATACATACATTACATTACATTACATTACATTACATTACATTACATTACATTACATTACATTACATTACATTACATTACATTACATTACATTACATTACATTACATTACATTACATTACATTACATACATACATTACATACATACATACATACATACATACACATTACATACATACATACATACATACATACATTACATACATTACATACATTACATACATACATACATACATACATACATACATACATTACATACATTACATTACATACATACATACATACATACATACATACATTACATACATACATACATTACATTACATTACATTACATTACATTACATTACATTACATTACATTACATTACATTACATTACATTACATTACATTACATTACATTACATTACATTACACATACATACATACATACATACACATACATACACATACATACATACATACATACATACATACATACATACATACATACATACATACATACATACATACATACATACATACATACATACATACATACATACATACATACATACATACATACATTACATACATACATACATACATTACATACATTACATACATTACATTACATTACATTACATTACATTACATTACATTACATTACATTACATACATACATACATACATTACATTACATACATTACATACATTACATTACATTACATTACATTACATACATTACATTACATTACATACATACATACATACATACATACATACATACATTACATTACATTACATTACATACATACATACATACATACATTACATACATACATATATACATACATACATACATACATACATACATACGAGAGAGGGAGATTGGGGAGAGAGTGGCTTGGGGGGATGGGGAGGATGGGGAGCGGAGGGAGGGAGAGAGGACGACAGAACACACCAGGGAGACAAGGGAGAGAGGAAGAAGGAGAAAAGGGAGAGGACAATGTCGGCGGACTGAGCCGGAGGCTCTAAAGTTACCTGCATGGATTGTGGCATGTTGACCCCGGATTCATCAGGGGTTATCTCCTCCAAGAGTGATGGACTTCCCTCGAAAGGCGACACCCCTATTCATGAACCCTGGGTTTATTAGTCGGGGTTAACATGGGATCGACCCTCCCAACCATTCCCTACCAGTCGTTGATAAATATCATTCCCATGGCCCCTGCAAAGAAGAGTTTAAGACGAAGAAAGAGACCTCTGGTGGGCGTGGGCAGAAAAGCACCCTCTTTTGCGGTCCTTGCTGAGGGAACCTGCGTCCAAACGAAAAGGAAAACAGGGGCACCACAGGTCAAGGCAAAGCAAACAGCAGGCCAGTGCAGGCAAGTCGCCTTCCAGAATTTACTAACCTTGGGTCTGATCCGACATTTTGCGATAAGTGGAAATGAAGGAGCACCAAAAGGACATACAAACAACTCAAAGTTAAAACAAAAGCTTCGATCAAACTTTGGCCAAAAAGGAATACAGCCAGACAAAATCATAAGCTCTGATCAAATTCTTGGGCATGTCTTACAATGGGGGACTCCCAATGGTTGGTTTCCTTGTGGATTCCCTCTGAAACCTGCCCAAAAGAATCTCCACCCCCAAATAAACCACAGGATCACAACTCTTTTCGGGGCGTCGCTTGGCATCGGGCCCTCAGGGACAGAATGGCGAGGGGCCATAGAAACACGACCCCTCGTAGCGAGGGCCGCGGCTGCTCGGGGTCTGCAACCACTATCGATCATTCAATAACAATCGCTTTGACAGTTATTGGCCCGCACACCGTCCTGGCCGGCAAACAACAGATTCAGTTGCCCAAGTATTTCCTAGCAAACACAGATCTCGGACGGCTTTCCGACATCTGCTTTCCGACGACTTCTCACTCATGCTGGCATTCCGCGGTTTCTGAAAACTGTCCGCCGGCTTTTCGACGGCTCCCCGGCGTTTCTGATAGCTTCCCGACGATTCCGACGGCTTCCCGACGTCTTCCTGACGTTTCCGACGGCTTCCCGACGTTTCCGATGGCTTCCCGACGTTTCCGACGGCTCCCTGATCTTTCCGACGGCTTCCCGACAAATCCGATGGCTTCCCGACGTTTCCGACGGCTTCCTCCCGACGTTTCCGACGGCTTTCCGACGCTCGGGCCCTCGCGGGCCCTCGGTTTGCCTAGTTTTGAGGGCCCAAGCGTTAGCTTCCCGACGTGTTTCCGACGCCAGACCTTGACGCGTGCCGTTCTATAATCGGCACTCAACTGGCCCATAAATACAAACTGTGACTTTACGCCATTGCAAGCCAATAGCAGCGATAGCGCGTAACCAAAGGAATTTTGCACGGCTCATGGGCCTGTCAGACACACACACGCAAACAAGCAAAGTCAGCAACCTTTTGGCAAACACGGGATAACACGGGACTCCTGTCAAGAAGCTGCGAAATACCAAACAAGTGAAGACACATCACCAGCCCACATATACATCCGAAACAACAGGTAACGCGTTAGCGATAACACTGTGGACTCAAGCCGCCCAGCCTTCACCCATAGCGCCTGGCCTTTTTTACAATTATCTGAAAACTGATTTTTGTTCTGCGCAGGGGTGTCGTTGCGGCCAGTGGCCAGTTGGGTTTCAGACCTTGTCGCGTGCGCTCAAAACGGGTCTGGGCCCCCAGGGCGTCGAACTGTGAACTGCCAGAGCCCCGGAACGTCGTCAGCAGGGTATTTAGGCCGGACCCTTTCAATGCACATCCCGACCCTTCCAATGCACATACCAAAGAGCCTTAGGGTGGGTATCTTTTCTTTAGGGGCCAACAAACTCACAAACTGGCGGTTTTCCAGTTGGTGTTCGCATTCAAAACCAACCAAAAAGGGGTACCAACTCCAAAAAAAAGACGCACACACCTATGGCCATGTCACATCCTTGGTGTTCTCCTTGCCCCAGTCGGAGGTATCTAAGCCTCGATCTGAGAGCCACTGCGCGAGGGCCTCGTGGTCGGGCACATCACTCAGTGAGGCGGTCTGCACCAGCTCTCCGTTGGTCCTCGGATTTGGAGTCACAAGAAGGTGTGGCTCAACATAGGGATCGGGCCAAAGAACCTGGAAATAGATATAAGGTGGGTGTGGCGCAAATGTAGGGATCCGTCTTATCCACAGAACCCGATAAGCTATATACAAGGTGACAAGCTTTTGGGACCTTTACTAAAATTGGACCAAAACTGGAAAATCAAAAGTTTAAAGGTCGGCATTGGAGAACTGAGTTCGAAGATAGAGGCCAACGTGAAACCCCGGCAAATGGCAAGGTAGACTAAAACCTGCGGTCCCCTGGACATCTCTAATTTTGGGCACCCATAAGGCAAAAAAGTGAACCTCGCAGATCCGGTTGAGTACCCTCCCAAGAACACACACATGGAACGTGAAAGAGCACTCCAGGTTCTATGTTTGTTTTTGGGAGGGTAGTTTGGGTTCCCACTTGACAATATGTGACATGCCTCTGTGAAATCCAATCTTTGCACTATGGTTGAACTCTGCTAACACTTGAAATTTCGGGATGGGATTTTCTTTCGGGTTGCAACCCAACCAATACAAGGGCGGCGGCGTCAAACCTCTTTGCAAAAAACATATCTTAAGATGCCCTCTGATTATATTTTGTATGGGATGGAATCGAACAGCAGCAACCTGGGCAAACCAGTAAAGCATGGACTCCCCTGGATGAAAGGGTAATTAAGGAACACCAAAAAGGCAACACAAATAAACAAGTAGAAAAGTAGACGGCACACCGACCCTCTCCATTTTGGTTTACTCCTCCGCTCTCCATGTCCACCGGAAATGCCATTTACTGTCACGTCTCCCAGTGTACACCACCCAACTTGGCACACTCCCCAGCTTGCTTAAACTCAGGTGATTGTTGAAAACTTCAAACAGGCCAAGAAACCAATAAACCGAAGGTTTCAACAAAGCGGCAAAACTGAAAATTGGAAAAGCAAACACAAAACATTGGAAAACTGAAACATGGAAACATGGGAAACACTGGAAAAAGGGCAACGACGATTGCCAACAATCTGCAAAACTGAAGCATGGGAAAGTGGGTACGGGTCAAGATTAAGACACCAGCGGACCGCAGGTTTTAGTCCTTGTTTCCATTCACCCGGGTGCCATTTTCTATACCTATGTTTGGCCCAAGTTAAAATTTGAAAACTGAAAAGCATGAACAAAAACAAAAACGCTGGCAAAAGGTAAGCCAAATCTGGCAACGGCTCAAGGGGGTCGGAAGGTTGGATGCAGCGACCATTGGGCCAACCCATCACACGCTGGAGCCCAGGCAGCGGTGCGCTGCCAGGTCGCAGGGTGGCTCGTCTTTGTTGCAGTTCCCCCTGTTTTGTGGCTTTTAAAGGGCGACACACACACACACACACGCACACAAGACACACCCATATATATATATATATAACATTACATGTGTGTATCTATATATATATATATACACATATACATATATATGAGCGTGAAAACAAAAAAGCCCACGAAATAACATGTTTTGTTGTTCCGTTTAAGTCAACCCTAGAAAGGCTGCCATCAAAACAGACACACCCATATCAATGTCTCTCTATATATATATATATTTGACAATGTACCCCTTCTAAAAAATGCTATAGACTGTCTGTATCTCCGAATCCCATGCAAGCTCTGGGGCGCAGCTTTTCCACTCGGCGAGCAGCTTTTGGTCCCAATTCCCGAGATGACTGCTTTGGTTGATTCAACATGGTACAGGCTTTCATTCACTCTAATCCCTGCGAAACCAGGGCGTTTCTTTTGGCAGTGGGCGCTGCTCGGTCGCTTTTGGCGCTCGTGTTTTGATGCCAAGCCCGGAAATAACAAATAAAATCGAAACCCGTTTAAGGAGCCACTTTGTGCATGGTGTTCATTTTGGCTGGCCTTGAAGTGAGACCTCCAAGGTACCTTGGCTAACTCCCGCAAGCCGGTCAGAACTGCACGTAGGTGGGTTCCGCGCTTGCCTGTGGGCAGGTTTGGGGCTCGTGCAGATTCCGGAGGAAGGTTCCGTCTGATTAGCTGTCTGCGTGTGCACTCGGCACGTGAGGTTGCAAAGGGCTACCAATCGGGTTTAAACCGTCGAACACCTGCTCAAAAGTCTTGAGGGATAGCAAAAGCCGGCCCGCAAAGATTGGGTTGGGACACTCTCCAAGCACATGGGGAGGTGACTCAAGGAACATTTACCCACACATCCTCAAGAAAGATCGGGCCTGGTCTTGCACATCCCCAAATGAATAGACAAACGGTCACGTTGCTCACTGCTCGTGAAGCAGCGCATAGTGAATGTAAGTCCATAGCGTGCAACTTGAACACGAACAGCGCCTTTCTTCTGCGCCTCTGGCTTCCAACAATGAAAAAGCAACTCGTATAATATATATATATATATTAGTATTATCTCTTTTTTTGTGGGAGACAGCTTTGCAACAAACAGCCCTCAATGATAGACCCCCTGTTGGTTGGTATTGACACCAAAGGAAACCCCACCATCTTAGGGGGCCAGCTGTTTTGAGAAACGCCACTAAGGCAACACTCCAAATGATGTTGAGGTACCCCTACCCCCGAGGCTTCCCCTGTACTAATTCGATAGACAATTTTGGATAGACTCAAGTGTGTTCGGGAGATACCCGCCTATTGCGAGGTCCCCTTGGCTGGAGTAAATGGGCCAAGTCTTCCCGACATGAGGGACCCCTACGTGTTTTGTGGAGTGCTACCATTTTCAGGCTGGCCATTCAAAAACCCTCCCATTTGACGTGCCTCCGGAAATTCGATAGGTACCCAGTATTCCTTTGAATCCATTGCAAGGGCCAATGTCTCGCGAGCTACCTTGGTGGGTGAGTGGAAGCACAATCTAACTCACAAGAATGGGAGGAACAACAGCAAGGCTTTCAGGGTCATGTGCCCAAGGAGACTGTACAAGAGATATGCGCAACCTAGCTTCAGACTGTTTGCAGCCCAGAATCAAAGAACATGTTCAAAAGGGGCCTGAAAAGAGGTTCCGAGAGTTGGCCCCCATTCAAAACCACAGGCTGAAGTACCTCAAGACATCCAGGCCATCCCTTGCCTGGTCCTCACGATGGAAGTTGTACATGCTTGGAAGCAGCTTTTGGCCTTGGGTAAATTCAGATCGTCTGAAGTAACAGGAGTCACTGGATTTCCCCTCGAAAGTTGCAATTTACTGGGTGGTGTCCGTTGACACTGCCACTTTTGGAGGTTCCAGAAGGGAAATGCAGCAAAACTTTCAACGAATCCAAAGGTAAACTCTAACCAACCCACCCGACTCTTTGGTTCCACGTCCATTGCTTAGTTCTCCGATCCCATTCTACCATGAACAGAACCAAACAACTAAGAAACACATAACACATGGTGATGTTTGTTTTTGACTTTGCCTTTTGGCCCCAAAATGGGGGTCCTTAAACAACGACACACCCACATGCCAGCTGTGAAGCTCTGTCATGGGAGTTTCCTACGGCTCGAAGCCTCCGCAAGAGTCTCTGCATGGGTGCCATGGTATGTGTCAAAAGGTTCATTTGGTTTCCTTTTAACCACCCGAAAACTGGTACCCTCAGAACAACACACGCCAACCTGACGTTCCGTGACGTTCCCTGATGTATTGTCACAGCTCCCGCCACAAGCATTTATGGCTCGCAGGGTGTCTTATACACATATATACACATGTATGTGTATGTATGTATGTATGTATGTATGTATGTATGTATGTATGTATGTATGTATGTATGTATGTATGTATGTATTTATGTATGTATGCATGTATGTCTGTCGTGTGCGTGCGTGCGTGCGTGCGTGCGTGCGTGCGTGCGTGCGTGCGTGCGTGCGTGCGTGCGTGCGTGCGTGCGTGCGTGCGTGCGTGCGTGCGTGCGTGCGTGCGTGCGTGCGTGCGTGCGTGCGTGCGTGCGTGCGTGCGTGCGTGCGTGCGTGCGTGCGTGCGTGCGTGCGTGCGTGCGTGCGTGCGTGTGTGTGTGTGTGTCTGTATGTATGTATGTATGTATGTATGTATGTATGTATGTATGTATGTATGTATGTATGTATGTATGTATGTATGTATGTACATACACGCACTTGAGCCATGGTCAGGAGTCTTGTTTGGTTTTGGCTCTGGTTCTGCTGGTCGTCTGCCCTGTTCCAGGGAGACTTGAGTTACCGCCATGGACATATATGATTGAATATGCCCCCGCCCTGGGAAATGGAAAGTCGACAAACACCTGCTGTCCCCTAGCTCTCAATTTGGGTATGGGTCAAAATCATACCACCAGGATATGGACCGCAGGTTTTGGTCCATGTTTCCATTTACCAGGATTTGACCCCAGACATTTCTGAGCCACACCCAATGACGGTTGGGTGTGGTCCACCTCACACCTGCGGCACTGAGCCACCGCGCCAATTCGGCCAACAAAGCCGTCGCTCGTGGGAGGTCTGTGTGGACCCTGCCAGGGGCTACTGATGGTTGCGAATTCCATTTCGCCAAGAAACCCTGGAGTGATGACTCCCTGTACACACCAACAAACAATGGTTTGTCATGGTTTCTTGGTGCAGGATTTTGTCTAGCTACAAGAAATTCCACAACATCCTATCCTTGCTTTTGCTGGGTATCTGGCAAATTTGCTATGGAAAATCCTGCTAGTTTCTATGACTTGTGAAGGAATATGGGTGTGCGTTTTGTGAGACTACCATTTTGGGGCTTGGTTGTATCCAAATCACTGGGACACCCTCCCCAATCATGTTTGTGGGGTTCGCCCTTTAGAGACAAACCCATTTGTCTGCTCAACATAACCATGGACACCAGCATGTGTTGGTTGCTCTCTATGTACCCCATATATAATATACACATATGTATATATGTGTGAATGAAAACCAATTAGGGACGCTTTGATGGACCCCATGTTCATGGGGATTCATAGACATGGCCCGACTGCAAGTGGCCTCTCGTTTTCAGGTACTGTATATGGGTGGGTATGGCTCAAAATTAAAGGGCTGGGGTTACGCGGGTTTTGGTCTTTGGTTCCATTTACCAGGGTGCCATTTTGGTACCACTTTTTTGAGCCACAGCCATATGTCAACCCTTGACTAAACATGGAGGTATTTACTAGGGAAGCCAGGTTGTTCAATATCTTTCAACTACAAGAACGAGTATCTGGAGTAGGGGGAATGCACTTGTAATGTTGTGGTATATAGCCAAAAGGTGGGCCCACAACATCCTCCAGGGTACACCAATCGACATATCCCGCTAATTCGCCCAGACTGACTGATCCGACTCCGTGCAAACAGTCGCTTCGTTTATCAGTTTGGTTGAAAGGGAACATGAAGGAACACCAACAACATCGGGAAACCAACATGTCAAAAGGCAAACAGCTAAAATGGTCAGTGAAGTCTGGCAAGGTCAAGAAGACCAGTTAGAAGAGCTCTTTCAGCAACCAGCACAGATCCCAAGGCCGGAACCGTTCCACAGCTTGGGATGTTGGGCCCCTCTTCTGAAAAGCCAATTGGGCCTGCCAGTTGAAGCCTGAAACAACCCGCCCACGGGATGCAACGCTTCCCTCTTTTCAGAATGCGGATATGTGCTTCCATTTGCTTCAGTCCCCTGAAAGATGAGAAATTATCTCCAGTCAGATTCCCTTCTTAAGCAAGGTGAACCGGGCACCCGAGCAAAAGACGCACCCGAACCACGGCCCCAAATGGGTCTGTGGCCGCCGAGTGTTCCTACAGCAGCGCCTAGTATATGTAGCCTTACACATATATATGTATAGATATATATTAGACTATACACAAATATATATATATATATATACATTATACAGTAATATACATCTATTCATTTATTCATGTATCATGGATTCTCTTCAAAATGAACAGCACCAACTTTCCGGTGTAACGAAACAAACACAACACATCACCCCCAACCCCCGGGACCCTCCCAAACTGCAGGTGGAAAGCGCACCGCGATCTGAAGCCACATCAGCAGCTGCAGCACACCTGTGGCGGGGGAGGGGGCCATGACCAGTATGCTCCAGGAGCTTCTGGTTGGTTTACAGGGAAACCATTTGGAACCAAGCATTTTCAGCGATGAAACAAAATGAGAAACGCCTAGGGGCTTATCCTAGGCTTATTGAGGCCTAACCTCTATTTGGGGGTCCACGCCTTGATAAAAGCGCAGTTCACACCAAGGGTTCCATCATCCAAAGGAGGTGTCTCCACAAACGGAGCTGTTTTGCATACAGCATCAGCATTGTGAGAAAGGCCCTGTCCCAACTTGATCCTTTGAGAGACCTGCCCGAAAGGAGATTCCCTCTACACAAAAAGGGTTTGTGGGTTTCGTGTACCTGTAGGGGTTGAAACTCAGTCTCCATGTCCCAAACCCCCCCAAGTGACACAATGGACTGGTAATTTCAATACCGAAGCTCATTGTCTGAAACCTAGAGGCCCGATGTTGATTCCCAAAAGAAAGCAAAAACAAACACTTGGGATGGGGTGCATTGTGCCATGCCTTCCCATAGCTCGGCCTAGGCTGGCCCCCCATGTCCACCCCAAAGAACCAACAGCTACCAATTTTCAGTCCCACTCAGCTGGCAAACGACTCCATCCACTCATGGCAAAGAATCAAAAGGCTTCCTTTGGGTGACCATGGTGGCTATGGTGGCTTCCCTTCGGATGCTCCACACATGATTGTGCTTTGGTGCAAGCGGTAGGATTGACTAGAATGTGCTGTTGCTGGCTCTCAGCAGGGAATGAGCGAATGACCCCTGTAAACCATCCCCTCTTTAAGGGAATCCTCATCCGGTTCATTCCCAACACCCCGTCTCATCTATTCCCGACCTATCGCACCAGCAAGTAAATGGGTCCCTTGAACAAGTTGTTCTTGAAGGCTTTTCAGAACTTTTCCAAACAAAGGACAGCCTAATTAACCCGAATCGGCGTAAGAACATACGCAAACGTTGGGACAAGGAAGGACTTGCCTTATAACACCCCTCTGGGAGTGTTTATTTTTTTGGGGTACCCTTTGTTGGGTCGTTTTAAGGGGAAACCAAAGGGACACCACCCACAAAACCCGGAAAAATAATAAGACAAACCCATGTAGATGCCTCTTGAGGGGATCGCATAAACCATTTGTGTAGCACATGCTGAGGCCCTACGCTCAGCCCGGAACCATTCAGGATGACCACGGCCACAATGATGAGAATAGGAATGGACACCAGCGCCAACGCACGATTTGAGTGCCTCAGCTTTGCGACGAAGAAATAAAGGTGAACCCTCTGGCATCTTGATGTAGAAGGTCAGATCCGGTCGATTCCCTTGCTGAGAAGACAGGTCCAAACAGCCGACGGTCCTCTTTGCAGGCCGGTCAAATGCGATGAGAAAGTCACTTCTCCGAATAGAATATCCAGTTTTGCTGTCCATTTGCGTCTTTCATGCTGTTTCGACAGCCAATGATGCATGGTGTACCAACATCATCGCCGTATAAACCCTGACATGTTGATGGCCCCGGCTTCGCGTGTTGCGCAGTTGACTCCTTGTCGAGTGTGGCTTACAACCGGAAAGCTGGGATCAACAACCCTGTGCACTTGGATTCTCAACTCTCAAGGCGAGAATAGAATTGGACCTGTGTCACACAACAAAAGTCTATGTTGAAAATCACACGCACAACGGACCAAGTCAGGCAATCCTTTGCTGCTTAGGATTGTGGGTTGTGAACCCCTGGCTCTTGTAGAGGGACGGAAAGCCACTCCAGCACCTTTCGGCTCCAAACCACCACTTGGGAAGCTGACCACGCGTGGTTTTGCAGACAAGAACAAAAACCACATCCCGGGCTTAAGTCCACTCAAAGGGACCCAGCCAACTGGGTGCCCCTGCGCGTTGGAGACCCAGCCGCTGAGGGTCTGCTCTGGCTCCTTCGGCGGAAGACCCACACATTTGGATGGGTCGACAAAACCGCGGCTGAAAGCGCGCGTTTAAAATCCCAGGCAAAGAACGTTCCAGCCAGGACTGAGAAGGATAAGCAAGGAAGTCACAGCCAAGCCCACTTGCCACCAAGTAGCCACTGTATAAGTAGCCGATTGTCTCAAGTAAGACTTGATTGTGAAACATGGTAACATGGGTTAAGTCAATCAAAGAGGGTGAAATCCAAAAAACGGTACCCACCCAACGGAAAGACATACATTGACATGATTTCATTGGTGGCCTGTTTCCCATGCCTTTAATGAATGGTGAATTCACAATGGGGGTCAAAACGGTTACCTGGCCTCATACATACAACACCTTTATTATGGTTGGAAATGGCCTTTTTCTACTGATACCATTCAGTGGATTCCCATCCAACCATGACAATTTTACGTCGTAAGGCGCGAAATCCCTTTGAATTCGCGGGAAACTGCAACCTAAACTAAAACCAACTCTTTCCCACCAGCTGCCAAAATGAAGTGTCTAAACATGGATTCAGCAAAGTGGTTTCTGGACGTTGAACGGGGCTTTGAATCGGGACTCCCTTTTGCTTACGCACTAGACTTGAACCGAGCAATTGGCTTCCCTTTGGGGAAATCCAGAACTCCAAAGTTCAAATCTACTTTGGATGGTCGCACCGACGAGAAACCCGAGTCTTGACGGCTTATTGGGGGGTGAATCATAAGATACTATTTGGTGGACATCATTTACATGAACAGTGCTGTCTGCCAACCAAACTCATACATGGTCAATATGGTTTCGAGCCCCGAGCCAAAGCCGGGCCACGCGAAGTCCGCAGTCAGAAACGCACACCTGTGCACTTCAACTATGCCGGCAGCGCATTGTACCATTCCAGGAAGATGGGGTACACCACAGACTGCGCGAGAAAACTTCCGACCAAAACGCCCCCTGCAAGTCCGGCCCCAAGTATGAAGACATCTTCGCCAAAAGGGGTGCCTTGACTTTGTCCAAAAAGACCAACAGAGCGGAAGCGTCGAATTCGATTGCAACAAATAGCCAAAAGCCAAGCGATCGATCCGGAGAGTCCACCTGTACCATCGATCCACGAGGGTCCAAGTACGTTCCAAGATACTTAGACCCCTTTGCCCCTGAAAGACGAGCCGCTCGGGCCCTCGCAAACGATGGCTGACGTTGTTGGGCCCAGATGAGGATCATTGAGAGTCAGCTCTTAAATGAGTGTTTTTTTTCGCCCGTCGCTGGTGCTAAGGCCCACACTTTCTGGAAGTTGGCGGCGAAATCAGCGGCCGCCAGACGGTAATACTTGGACTTCCTGCGCAAAGAAAGTCACTCCGCGAGGATCCCGGAAGCCGATTGGAGGTGTTTGGCACCCCTGTGCACAGATGAGTGAGGGAGGGTTCTCCCCCACACTGGCTGATTTCCACTGCAGAATGGATGAGCAGTCCCAGTCTGGCAACTCGACGTTAAAACACTCGGACATTAGAACCCGCCCTGTAGTATTGGTTTGTCTCGAAGGGAAGTTGCCAGGCGGAAGAACTGTCCTCTTCCATTTTGAATCACCAGACCAAATGGAGTCTGGCTCATAGAAGAGTCAGGCTTCTTTGGTTCGCCCCTTAGCACCTGATCCAAGGCCACCGAGTTTTGAGGCCCCAAAGCTTGGGCAACCGGGTCCAAAAATCGACCCGTTTGGACAAGTCCTCTCGATCGATTTGGGGGGTTCCTGTATCCTGGGCAAGTTGTAGCTGTTCCAAACCCCGCCCTCCACCCCCCCCCAATCGCCATCCGTACTCCGCTTTCGGCTGGCATTGAAATCAAGCTAACATAATATTGCTCGCCGAAAGGACATGGACCCCAAAGACATTTTCGGTCTTGCGAAACTGAGCGCTGTACCCCGCATCGGTTTCCCGAAGGCCGCCTCGGCTTAGAGGAATCTTTTGGGAGACTTCCTGAGCATGGGAGCCGCGGGAAAGGGGCGCGCTGCACCTCATTTCAAGGGCCCTTCTTTGAGCGAAGATGCCCAGGACACAACAAAAACGCGGGCCAAAACGGGAAGTGCCCCTGAATTAGTTAAGTTGCCTGGTTCGGGCACAAACTCCCAACACGCCAAGTTAATCAATATTCCTGCTTCCAGAAAACGCCATTCTTCGCGAGAACACGTCTCTTTCGCGAGTGTTTCACGAACTCATCGTCATGGCCTTGGATTTGCAGCGTGCGCTCTAGACCAATTGTTGCTGCTGCAACTGCGCTTGCAAGCACAGCGTAACCACACCATTCACGAATCACTATCATTCGCCCTTATCATGCAAACACCCAACCAACTCTGTGACGTTACCCCGTGTTTGCTTCGTTTTGTTGCAGGACCCCCGCTAGGCTGCGCGATCAGATAGAGTCAACCATCCGCATCGACCCTTTGCCCATTCCATTTAACTAAAATCGAACACGAACAACACATCCCCCCCCCACTGCTACCTTGAAGCGAGAGGGGTCGTAAAGATCTTAAAAAGAACAAATGAGTTCTAAATAAGATCCCAGGGGCCACCCCCTTTCCCAATTCCATTTTTATTCAGGAGGCCTTTACACAGCTGCCAGGTGCAAAATGACCTCCAATGCTTTGCAGGGATCCCCTTGGCTTTTGGATATCTAAGGGAACCCATGCACCCATCCACCCCCCACCCCCCGACAAAAGGAGAGAACATAGTCATCCCTTGAACCATGCCGGCGCCAGAACTTACGTGCCATGCTTTGAACATGTCAATGCCTCGACGTGGCCTTCGCTGTTAACCAGCCGCCGGGGATGACTGTTAAGCTGCTTGCCCACGACTGGGGTAGGTGAGCAATGGGAGAGCTGCAGCACGCTGATTTCTACCTCGACTTCGCTTATGCGTTTGTTGTTGTTCGGCAGAATCACCTCCGCAAGTGCTGGCTTGATTCAACCCTGTGCTCATTGACATGCCGAGCAAGTGCCATCCAAAAGCTGCACCTGTAGAAGACTAGCAACGTAATGCCGAAGCAAAAGACTTCACAGGTCCATGTGCCTTGACCAACAGGCCAATGACACCTGTACAAACAAAAGTTCCAGGACATCTGTAATTCGCCTGGTGATTTCATTGGAACTGGCAAAGCATAGTGGTGGACAGGCAGTTCCCCTGGTCCGGATTCCTGGAGGCTGTGCCCCAGTTGTATCGAAGGCCGCAGCCCCCACGGCAGGCGCCGAAGAACATGCAACCCAGGGGCCAAGCGGGCTGCTCCTTCTCAAAGAAGACCTGCAGCTCATGTTGGGAGGTTCCCATACCGGGAAAGGGAAACAACACGGACACCTGCCAAAGCTTGTTCTTCTCCCAGCCAAAGCTTGTTTTTGTCCAACCAGGCAGGCCAATATGCTTAAGATAGTTGAATGGAAACCACCCTTCTTCTTTTTTTTGGGGGGGGATGGAAACCACCCATTTGGTTAAGACAACCCCACCTCCGTCCACGAGCCCCGGCAGACCTGCCGCGGCTGCATCGTTTCCGCGGCCTCGACGCAGTTCTCCGGCTCGATGGCCACGAACGGCGCCTCGCAGGCGTGGTCCTCCCGCGGAGTGGCGTAGCCACGGCCCGAAGGAGCACGAATCACCTGGGGTGGTGCAAGGAATTCCCTGTCAAAGCAAAAATACTATTGGTGGCTTAGCAAAGTTCCAAGGGATTTTCAGTCAACAGTTTTAACTATTCAGTCGTGGAGCTAATGAAACTGCCACTCAATCCAGAAAAAGAGAAAAGATAAAACGCGAAGGGGATGGCTGAGAACCACCAAGTAACTTTCACCCAGCCCTGCAGAAAGGCATCCTCCGTTCGCACAGTCGCGCAGGACCAAAGTTGGATCTTTGCACCGTTGAAGGAGTGATTGCCCTCTACTGCCAGACACATGTCGGAATTCTGCTTGGATCGGATCTGGCCTTGAGAAGGCACGCTCCACCGCTGATTCTCGTTGGCTTCATCGCATTTCCAGAGGTGGATCTTGGCGAAGTTCACGTTCTTGTCGCCGTCGATGACCACGCAGTACGCCGGATCAGCAGTGCTCCGGAGCCTGCGCGCCTCGTCCAAATGAAAGTTCTGGCCCACACTCGACCAGCTGCTGTCACACTCCCAGAGGTGCAACTTGACGCCGTCGCCGATGTTCCCGTCGCTGGACAGGCAGAAGCGGGGAGACGCGCCGTATGACACATGGAACGCAGCCTGGACCTCCGGAGCTCGCGTGTTGTTCGAGCCGCGCAGTGTAGCATCCACAGCCACCAGGCCAAAGCACAGAAGCCATCGAGCTGCCATCCTTCACGCGGAGAATCACGGCGCTGTATGCTTAAGCAGAGCTCCAGCTTGAGCCGCATTCAGCCAGAAACAAGCCGTGTAAAATCCAATGCGATTGAGACCCGAAGACCTCTGCTCAATACGGTTCAGGGTTCAAGGTGTGTCAGCCACATTTGCCCCGCTTGCACCAAATGTTTAAAAGTTCATGCCCTTGTTTGGGCTCCAGTCACTAAAATCAAGACAATCAAGACAATCAAGACAATCAATCAAAAGAAACATTTGAACAAGTCGAGTGGACCATCATCTCTCCTGAGCGCGGCACCTAGACTCTTACCAGGGTTGTTCCAGTCACCACCTGCGCGGCCCGAAAACGCGACGGGTGCCTTGGGGCGCAATGCTGGCTACCCTCTGGGCTGATTTCGGTCAGCTGCATGGACCAAATCATCCTGAACATTTGCCAACCCGATGAGAAACAACCCCGTCCTCATACACGACATAGCAACACCCACACCATCAAACGCTTGTGCTCACAAATGCAACAGGAGTTTGCCGAAGCCCGTGCTCATTTGCATATGTGATAAATTTGTGAGTGTACCTCATGCCACCAAATCACCAAAACCGCATGAATTCCTTGGAGACCATTTTGTACGACATCAAAGACCTTGCCAGGCTTCAAGCAGGGTTCTGGAACCATTCCCAAATGGAAGCTTGGCAAGTACGCGTCGTGCCCGTCTTTCGTGATATGAAGTGTTCTATGTGTAGGTGTGGGCCGGTGTTGCATGCCCGTGTCTATGAATCTGTGTCTCTGTGTGTCTTGTCTGTGTGTCCCATGCCGTGCAGAACCCCCGGGCCCCTTGCCAACACTCACTGTTGGCAAAATGGTCTGGTGGAAGGGGATGCGCAACGCGGTCAAGAAGCATCCTAGAGCCCTCCCAAAAGGGGCCACCAGCTTGCCACGAAAGGGCTCTTCAGCCTATTTGCCAACCCACCATTTCTATCACAAAGCTTGGCATAGCTTAACGAAAACAAAGATATAGATTCTGGTCGGTACTTTGAGATCCGGAAAAATCATGATCAACTGAGGCCCCCAGATTTGGGCTTTTCCCCAAAGGCACCCAGAATCTCACTTCCTGAGTGGATTGGCCAAAAACAAACTACAACTGCTTGCTTGGCACTAACATGGTTGAGGAACGTGCCGTTCGGTTTGCCAAGGGGCACAACGCAGGTGGCATCCAACAAGGCATTTCTGGGCGGCCCGCAACGGAACTCCCCAGGACAGTCGCAGCAGTCGGTTCCTGAGATCCGGACAGCCGTTTGGATACAAAAACCTCCCAGAAAACTCGAATCACTTTAAACCTTCCTTCATCGCTAAAAACTAGCACCCTCAAAACCAGACACACCGATTTAGGGAGGGTTGTCCCACACATGTGGATCATTTAGGTACGTCTGTGATTTGGGGGAACTAGCGCTTTTTGTGTTCTTCCAAGGAACACCAAAGAGAAACCACCATACTTGGGTCTCCTATTTTAAGACACCCCATTTGTTGCTTGCTTCCGTGCCTGTACAAGTAAAGCCTGTGATACTGGGCTGGTCTGGCTGAGTCACCCCCGCATTTGCCCCATGATCCTGAGAATCTTGGTACCTCCAGGCCTTTGCAGCGGTAAACCTTCGAACGGAGATCCAGATTGCAAGGTTCCAATACTTTCATGTTTCGGGGAGCTGAGATATGGGCCGGCCATGAACAGGTCGTACTGCGACATGTTGGCCGGCGTACGGAGCCCGTCCTGGTCTCAATCCATGCCTCACCTTTTCTGCGGGACTCCAAGAGCATGCACTCGTGCCATGAACTGCGTGCAACGGGATATAGATGCTGCGAAGAACTGCTTGACACTGCGGTCTCGCTTGGAAAGAGTCTTGATTCGTTATGCCTGCTCAAAGGATCTGGCAAAACCAAGGGCTAGTGCGGCTAGCCCGTTTTGACCTTGACCCGACATATTTCCAGACAGCCTCAGAAAAGGACAAAACAACTAGCAGGTGAAAAGGTTGCACTGTGGCCACATCATGCGACACACTCAGCCGGAAACCGTGCTTGCAACGCACCAAACGTGGCCAGCAGAGAATGAAGTTCGGTACTAACAGATGGAACACCTCGAGGGGTCCCTTGAGAGACATCGACAATCTTAGGTGTCACTTTGGACAAATAGGATGGGACTGGCGAATGATTAGAACTCTGAAACCGGGAATCCATCGATGTTCAACTAGACGGACCTGAGGACGCCAAGATGGAATTGGCTTTCAAGGATAAACGAAAAGGGACTTCTGGGAAAGACCTTACTCGGAGCTGGCCTTAACAAATTTTGCTCGAAAATCATATTATATGTACAATATGTATGCATATGTTATATATATATATATATATACATATACACATATATATATATATATATTGTATACAGGGCATTGCAATAATTCCATAAGACGCAGCTTTGCTAGAATGGAGAGACTGCTGTTTAGCTCTGCCGTTTTAAATCTCAACGAGTGTGCTTGATCCTTAATCTGGTTTTGCACAACACATGTAGAATGCCACGGCAACTAACAACACCGAATCCTGAATTGACAACTTTCCGTGAAAGGAAGCTCCCACCGTGGAATCTGATCTCGATTTACCCCTGCTTTGGCCTCCTGACACACTCCCATCTGTCATGGTTGCAACGTGTCGAGGTTGGATGTTTCGAGCTGCGTTCGGGGTGTTTAAAGAGGTGCTTTTGGATGCTCCAAGACCAGACATCTCTCACCAGCAAAACATCGACTTTTTGCTGAAGGAAAGTGGAGGCTTCCACTTTTCTAGGGGGTGATTCCCCATTCTTTTCAACCATCGTTCTGTTCAAAACCCAGATGTTTCCCTGGGTGTTGGATGTTTTCCTGAAAAGAAGGATCCCTGGAAAGAATGGGGAAGGTAGCAACAGAACCAATTTGTGCTCGATTCGCGCACTCGGATCCTTCTCCACCACCGGCACAATGGCGGCGATGCAGTAGGTGGGGCCATCCACCAAGCACCCGGTCTGCCAACTCCCAAGCTCAGGTTGGCTTCAGGTGCCAACAGAACTTGGGGACTGTCTCTTCAAAAGATGACTCCAGAAAAACGACAGGTTGGCTCACTCCAAACACTGTTTGGGGTTCAACCCCATTCCTTGATTCACCGCACTTGGTGGCCCGTCAGAATTCCAGTTCCCACAACCCGATAGCCCCTTCAACAGTGGGCTCTGGCTTCGGGTGAGAGAGCCTAAAAGTGGGCCGTTCCTTTTGATTTGCCTCTAAACACCAACCAAAAGTGGGGGGGTTCTCCCCTACAAATTCACATGGAGCCCCGACAAGGGCCCTTTACCAAAAAAAGGACTTTTGGGTTCCGTGTTCATCAGGGAATGCCACTTTGAGAAAAACCTTGGCCGCTTGCAACCTGCCAGCGAGGCCATCATCCGGTTCACGCCCGTCAATCCATCCTCGGGCAACGCGAGCCCCTTGTAGTTGGTGCTCAAGCGCAACCAAAAAACAGGGCTCGCATGTAGAGAATGGCGGGTGCGCTGATTGCTATTGGCTGTGCTTTCTTAAGTGGTTGTTGCCGTCTCTAAACCCGCCGGGCGTAGGGTTCCCCTCATTTTGGGACAAACGATTCTCCGAGGAAATGCGGGCAAGCAAGTCTTGCCCTAGTTTCTCATGCCGATTCCATGTTGTCGCCAAATGGATTTATTTGGTGGACATCAATTAGGCGAGGATGTTCCCCACTAAGATTCATACCCAAATCGAGCTGGGCCCTGACGACTAAGGACCACGGCGAAGGTCACGACTCCAGCATCCTGGAGGCGGATACCACTGGCCTCAGCGGAGTCTCTCGTGATGCCCCTCTGGGGTGCCAGCCTGCAGGCTGTGCTGCGTTTTTTGGGCCCCTTTGGGTTGCTTTAAAAGGGAAACCAAAAGGAAAAGCACCCTTGAAGGGGGAGGGTACTTAGTAAGCGTTTAGTAACCATGGTTATGGCTTAGGGAGGTTATTCAGCCATTGCAAGTGACTAACCCGCTTACATAACCTGACCCATAAGCTTCGAATACAGATTCATATGGAAGCAAACAAAAACCTCGAGGAATCACCTTTTTGGGTTCCATGGTTTGCCGAAAATTGCGAGTGTTCCTCAGACTCCATGTATTTCCTCGAGTCTGTCTTGATACCGGGTCTGGTGAAATTGCAAATCACCAAACGGGAAAAGCTAGGAGAACTCCTTTGTTGTGCTGTTGTCTTGCGGCTAAGCGCGGGGCATTGATCGGGTTGATGTCATGGTACACCTGACAAATCTCTGTCAGGCAGAGTTTTGATCCAACCACTCAGAAGCTCATGCCTTCAGGCGCCCTTCTGTGAGTCAAGGCGCTGGAAGGGCGGGTCATTCTGAAACCTTCCAAAGACCCTGTCGCTTCGCAAATCCGAGCATGTCAATGGCCTGCATCCGACCAATCTGCGCAGCTGGAAGATAAGATCCGTTCCTCAGGCGGCTGTCCTTTTGGAAGATTGACGGCACCCTTGCTTTACGCGGTTCTCTTTGCTGCTATTTATGTCTTTATTTCTTTCTGCCTTTCTTTCTTTACATATCTGCTTATTCAATGTGTTTATGTATTGTTTATGCTTCTAGTTTTGTACTACCTCCTTTGGTTTATTTAAAGTTTATTTCTCTCTCTCTCTCTCTCTCTATCTGTGTCTCTTTTTCTACTTGTGCTCAGATCGTCGCTACGGTAGCCAACTGGATGCTTTTCTAGCATGAGGAACCCACACATAGACACAAAGATGGTCTCAAAGACTCCAACACTAAAACATGCAAAATCACACAGACACCCAAACAATAACAAGTACCCACACAGACACACCCTTGCCGCCGGCCGAACCCGAATCCCGTTGCTGAGGGATTAGGGTAAGGCCGCGGCCAAAGGAAGTCTCCCAGCATCTTGCCGCCAATGGCAGCCTCGATCCGACGTCGCAGCAAGTTACTCCCAGTGCTTCCGGTTGCCACTATAGTGGGCAACCCTTCAGGTCTTCTACCTCTAGCTTTTACATGACGGTTGCCTCTGGTTACTTACTATAGTGGCAACTGGAAGCACCGGGTGAGACAACCACTGTTTCTCTATCAATCCTGAAAAGCATTTGGTTTGCACTTGATTTCCAAATTCCAATCACCAAGCAAGGGGGGTCCCCGGTTTACAAGCAGGACCCTTCTTGGAGAAACTTCGAGCTTCATTTGAAAGCCAGCCGCCGGAACCCTGGCACTTGACCAAAAAAAACTTCCCGACCCAGACTCTAAAACCCACTAGCGAGTCAGGAGGGTTGCCAAGAGAGGCATGACAACTCTCCACAGAAACTTATATCGAGTAATCACCGGACCCAAAGTTTCCTTCCCAACCCTATAAGATGGTTTCCACTACCCTCAAACCAAAGCTACCCCCTGGGAAAGACAATATATCTACATAACAGCCACCATGTAGGCACTATATCACGGGTATTTAAATATAGATGTGCATATGCATATATATATATATATATATCTATCTATCTATCTCTATATATATATATATATATCCCGTTCCACCCCTGCAGGTCTCGGCTTGGGGGATGGAACCCGTGCAATCCAAGGGCCTCGGAACCGGAACGAACAGCCCTTCGAAGCTTCGGGGCTGCGGCGGCCACGCAGAGGACGAGCTTCCAGAAGGGCCAATAGGTCCAAAACCTGAGCTGCAAACCCCCGACTAACACGACCCAGCCGCGGGAGTTTGGGTGGCCAAGGGTAAGTCTCCAAACTTGGGGGTGGTGTAGAGGGAACCAAAGAAAAAACAAATGGATGGGGGGAGGAAATCCCGAATATTGTGACCACGAGGAATGGCGCCAAGCAACGATTCCCCGAGGACCGCGCAACAAACAAGTTTTGGCGACCCAAATAAGATGAAGACTAAATCGGAACATCCGACATGTTCAAGCGTGATTCGCGAGCTTAGCCTCAGAGGCAACGGGACACGATCTGGAAAAAAATCAATAGTTCCCCAGGATAGATTCGGGGAACCTCCAGGAAGGAGCCTTCATCGCGCTTGAATTCCCGGTGAAATCACTCGCCGGGGCGCTGGCAGGACTGCCTTCCATCTGACACCTCTCCCGATGGCAGTGGCTACTGTGCCTGCGTAGGCGGTAAATCCCCAGTCGCAACGAGTGACTTCGGCAAGAGAATTGGAACTCTAGGATTTAGTGTTGGCTTTGGGGTGTGGCTACCACAACGGTGTTCGGACAGAAGTGGGCTTCAGGCTGGGATTGTGATAGGGCTTAGTCTGTTGGACGGGGTGAGGATGTTGTACGGAGGAGGCCCCGGCTAAATGAATGTGGATTTGGGGTAGGTTCAGGATTTAGGATAGTTTAACGGTGTTTTGAAGGAAGCGAGTGAGCCTGGGGTGGGTTCGTCATTGACCAAACGAACAGACCAGGACTGCTTCCAAAAATACAAAGAGGACCCTGAACATGGTCTCTTGCTTCCCTTTGGTTTCTCGCGGTTCCATCAAAACGGCACATGGTTAAAATAGAGGGATCCGAACACGGTGGTATTCCTGTTGAACTCCCTTTAAACCAGGCCCAACAAGGGGGCGATGGAAATCCTGTGCGCCCACCGTTGGTTGGGCCTATGACCAAGACCAGGAACTCCATCAGGGGAAAGGCCAAGAGGAGCACGAGCACTACGGCGCAAAGCGCCGCCTGAACGCGCAAACGGGCGAACGGAGGAGGCCAGCGAACGTGTGTGGGAAGCCAAAGGGAAGTCAATCGCAGTTTGGGGGAAACCAGGTGGAAACCTACTGTGGATGGACGAAATCCTGCACCAATGGAAGCCATGGGAAACCATTGTTTGTTGGTATTTACAGGGGAATCATCATTCCAGGGCTTCTTAGGTGGTGCAGGATTTCGTCCATCCACAGTATGAAGACCAAGCATTTTGTTGGGGGCATGTCCTCTTAAAAAACGACTCGAAAGAAAGCCGTTGTCGTCTTCGGTTCCGTCGAGTCAAAGGGGCGTGCATCCCGAAAGATGGATCCCTCAACCAACTGGTTGCTACAGTAAGCGCCTTGGGTCACAAAGATTCGAGCTGTACTGCCCAGCCATGCTCTGTAGGCTTTCTTTTGGGACAAATGGCAAACACACGGGGAGTGTTCGCGGTTCCTCAAAGCATGATGGGTAGAAGGGGCGGGGAATCAGCGCTCAGAATTCGGAATTCGTACTACTCTCACTAGCCCAAAGGGACAGGACATTTTCGGCAAGTATGTTGGGACCCTGACAAAAGGTAGACCAACTTGGAGAAACCAAAGGTGAACAGGACAATCTACTTTGGATCTGTGAGTGTTGCCTAGCTGTGGTTCTTTTGGCCATTTCAAGGAACAACACCAATCCCAATAGGGTCTTTTCTCACTTCCTGATCGGCCAAAAGAAGGTGTTCCCAAGAAGCTGCAAGTGTATCCACTCGCGAAGTGACGATTGTGCGCATGCTTGGCCCCCCTGGGAATGCCAAACTATGGGTATGGAAAACCCTAAATTGAGGTCCTAGCGGTCCTTTCGGGAAGAACACAAAGGCACTCCTGCAGCCCTGGAATCCCGTGTGCATTTCAATCCAACTGATCTAGGCTCTTAATTTTCAGGAGTGCTTGAGGTGATGACCCAACCCGGTCATGGGAATACACCAGAACGTATGGGAAGGAATATCACATTTGGGCGGCAAGGAATGACCCACCTCACATTTGCTATCAATCTGGGTCTGATGGGTCGACCCCCTTGCCCAAGTCCCCCCAAAACTTACGTCGCCAGAATGTTGGGGACGCCAGACAAAGGCCGAATTTTGGTGGACATAAATCCCAGCCTAAATTATGCCCAGCAGGGTCTCCAAGTAACAGTTGCACCCTGTCTGACCAAACTCTAGTTTACTCTTTGCTGATAAGCAAAATTAATGAAGCCTAAAAGGGTCAAAACATCAAAAGGTGAGTTGTCTCTCTGGCAATGAGAGAGTTCATTTTTCCCCAAGCGGGCCGCCTGACAAATGTCGGGCCTCAAGGGGATGCCTGTTAGGTGCTTAGGGGTCCGGGTGTCCATCACTTCTATGGGAGAAAAAAGAGAAGCAACACCAACCCAATGCAGCTGTTGGTTTTTAAACAACACAAAAAAAGCAAGGCACTAGTTTTTGCTGATTGCTATGGTTTAAGCCGTACCAAAGACAGAAAACTGAACGTGTTGGCTTCCTGCTGACCACTTTGAGTGTCCGATGATAGGAACCGCTGGGCGCCCTGCGGAATTCACCATGGACTGCACCTCGCGCGCAATCGAGAGAATTCGTGATGAGTAGGCAAAGGGAATCCTTTGAAGGTCACCCGAAATTGGCTGGTTACCAATGCTGGAAACAGCCGTCTTGATGTTTGTTTGTTCTTTTCTTCTTGAAAACACTGACCGCCGCTTGTTTATGGTGAGGCGTTTCTATCTTTTTACCTAGCTGGCTTCCAACTGGGTAAACTGACATGGCCATCGCCACATGTCTCATGTCTTGACGGGTGAAGTGGCGGCCGCTTCAGCACCGAAACGGGTTTGCAAAAGGAACCGGCCGTCTGCGGACTCTTGGCACCGGTCACAACACATGGTGCCAAATGCATGTCTGAAGCCACGGCAAGCACCAGGATGAGGAAGAGGGCAATGGGCCTCGGCCAGGAAAACACATCCACGAATTTCCGACCAAGGGGAAGGTGAATTGTTTGAGATTTGCTTTTCCAGGACCCGAAATCCCAAAGGACGACTCAGAATACGCTACCTACCTTCCCAAAATGGCTGATTGGAGGCCTGAAAGACCAATCAAATTTCTGAACTGGAACTCTGAGACATTGTTGAAAGGGAGAGAGGCTGTAGTGCTCATCCTTTAAAAAAAAGAAACACCCAACAAGGGTTGGGGGTTGGAGTCTTTTCGGGTGATTGGAGCGGAACAAATGCCCTGGGAACCGAAAATCGGGCCGCGGGCTGCCAGGAAACATCCAGAACCTCCGGCGCGAATTGGGCGAAGGGGCCCACGTTTTCTCCTACCGGGGTGCTCCGAGTGTCGCCAAGGGTAGTTTTGCCTGGAAAAGGAAAAGCAAACATGACCCAATACCAATTTGCCACCCTTGTGGCCCCAGTTCATGCAGACGACGAGAAGACATACAGGCCATGAACAAATCAAGCCAAATCATGGCTCAACACGGGAGGAACACCGTTGCTTACAAAAAGGGGAGCCCGCGACAAGGCCGGCAGCAAACCTCAAAACACGGGCAGTGAGACCAGCTTCCCCCCTAATGGGTTCCTCAGCTTTTGAGCAACAGGAAACACCTGGAAACCGACAGCAAGAAAGAAAGAAAGAAAGAAAGAAAGAAAGAAAGAAAGAAAGAAAGAAAGAAAGAAAGAAAGAAAGGAATCAACAAACAACCAACCAACCAACCAACCAACCAACCAAACAAACAAACAAACAAACAAACGAGGTTTGAGACTTATAACACCGCCTTGCCTTCAGCGGGCTCAGCGCGCCCACAGAACTCAGGGGTCTCAGAGTGTAGTTCTGGCCTCCGCGGCAAGACTTAAAACTCGCGTTTGGAATGTCACCACAAATCATACTGTGGATGCGTCTTCCCAATCCATTTCGCACCTAAGAAACCCTGGAATGATTTGATTCCCCAGTAAATACCAACAAGCAACGCTTTCCAATACTTTCAACGTGGTGCAGGATTTCGTCCATCCACAGTATGGGGACCCGTTTGCTTCAACCCCCAACCTGTTTTTGTTGCAGGGTCACCTCCTTGGGTTAGTGACGCATCGGGTGCCCTTTTAATGGTGGATGCCCTTCACCCATGGTGACATGGGCCCCTGTCATATTCATGCTGTAACCCAATTGACATTGACACATTTACTCATGGGATTGTGGGTGTGCCCATGTCACCCTCTCTTCAGTAGACGACGGTAAACATTGACATGTTCACTGGGCCATGGTGCAAAGAAAGCAATGTGGCAAAGGTCACTTTAGGTCTAGTTGGCACCCAGGTACCGGCGGAACATTGCGGCGGTTTTCTGTTGCAGGGATCCTTATTATACACCTGAACATTGCCTTGTAAATGGTGATTTCCCGTTCTTTTCTTGGAAAAAGCCATGTTTCAAAATGGGCAAACTGTATCTTTTAAGGAGCCCTGCGTTGGGTGACGGATCTTTGAGGCTCCCGCGAGCAAGAAGTGACCGCTGCTCAGCAGACACCTGATTCGATGCAACTGACGCTCCCATCCTTGGTAGAACCCATCACTCCTGCACACCCGCACCCTCCAATGGAGTTCCCCGACCCTGCCAAGGGAAGGTCCAAAAAAAACAGCTTCAGACATGGCAAACAAAACTCCAAAGAATGGCAAAGAAAGGTTGCACCGCACAAGGTTTGGGTTGGGATCTCAATGTACTTGTACTGCTCAAATTTTCTTCTGCACCAGAACTCCCCATTTTGTGCACTGTTCTTCTTCCGCTTCCCCGCTTCGGTGTGGTTCAGAGCGGCTTCGGGCAAATTCCGGAACGGTGCAAAGGGGGCTTGCTGTTGGGCATAGCACCTAGTAACATATCTCTACAGTAACCAGCCCATTGCCTCTCCTATGCTCAACAGCAAGCCCCCTTGCACCGTTCCGGAATTCGCCCGAAGCCGCTCTGAACCACTCCGAAGCCTAGCTTTCAGCTGCTGGGGGAAAACAAACCCAGTGCTTCCAGGCAAGCCCTTGCAGTAACCCTTCAGTATTGCGTAGCACCGGGATTCCAAGGAAGCCCTTCTTTCTTTGGACACCTGGGCTGTCCTCAGATCCCCCGCTAATTAAGAGCTTAACTTTTGGTGGGTCAAATGGAAAAACCCTCGAAACGCTAAAAAAGCTCAGAAGCTTTTGGGGATGGCCGGGTCCCAGCCACCAAGTACTTAAGCCCAAGAGCGGTTCATCTGCACGGACTTTCCGGCTCGCGAAAGTCCGTCGCCTTGAAGCCGACGTCTTGGTGAAAGCCGCCCATGCCTTCGATTCGCTCGACGTGGGTTCCCCGCTGGCTGTTTCTTTCCAGCAAGCCCAACAAACAAAAAAACGGCTTGCGTCTTGCGTGCCAACAAGAGAGCCCCATGTTCTGGAAAAGCGGGCCGGCTTCCTCTTAACCGCGAGTTTGAGGGTTTTTGTTTTGAGGTCACTTTGAACCGAGTCAGCTTTCAACGGGTGCCAATTTCTAGACTTTGCAATGCCGCCTTTTGGCGGACAGAAGTTAGCACCTTTTGGCCCTAGACCTCCCTTTGCTTAAGTCCCCTGGATGAAAATCAACATATTTCCAGCGATAACATTTGGCAAGACAAGTATTCCGATCAGACTGACATTGAACAGGTGCAACTATGGCTCAATTTTTGAAAGCATCCAAACGCGGATGTAGGGAAGCCTCTAATCTCGCGGATTGAAAGTTAGGGGGCATTCCTGCTTTGAAAGGATCCAGATCCCCAAACCAACAAACCCAATTACCAAACAGGACCATCTGATTAATTGCCTGCCCCCCCTGCCCTTTAACCCCCTTGGAGATCAATGCTGCTGGACTCGCTTTGGCCCCTTTTGAAATCTGCCTTAAAAAGGGGGGTGTCTCATGAGGGCACCAAATCGGCACTCTCTTTTTTTGGGCATACCCACATACCCACATGCGATACAGCCCGAATCGTGCTGACACAGACCCATGCAAAGGCTTCGAAACCTTGCAAACCAAAGGCTTCTTTTTTCCCGCAAGATGTCCGTAGCCTTCATTTTGGTTCCAGCCGCTAAATAAAGGCAAATCAAACACGTGACAACACGATACAGTATGGATTCCCTTCGGCACAAGCAAGCAAAGGACGGACAATTGCCTGGTAACAAAGTAAATTAAAGTAAACATGTTTCTAGGGGTGCCTTCCCCATTCTTTCCAGGGATCCTTCTTTTCAGGAAACCATCAAAAATCATGGGAAACAGACGGCTTTGGAAAAGAACAATGGTTGCAAAGCATGGAGAATCAACCTCTAGAATGTTCCCACGTTTGCAAAGTCAGGAAAAGCCAGCGAGCCTATGAAGTGCCGCACGTTCTTCGGCACGTTTTAGTTCGCTTCCGGAACTCGCCTTGCCGCTCCGCCTGGGACAGTGGGCCGGGGCTTGGGCGGAATTGTTGAGGCGAGTTGGCTCAAGTTGCCCCAAGTTGTTTTTCTGGGTCTCCCCGTATCCCCTCCAAAAGGCAGCACCAGAGTGCAAAAAGGGGCCATCGTGTTGACAATCCCCCTCAAAAAAAACAAAACAACGCAGAAGAAACAAACACACGGCAACAAAATCGCCAGTTGTGTGCTACAAGCATGGTGCATAGCACTAGCTCAATTCGCTTAAGCACCAGGAAGTCCCCAACTTCCGCACAAACCCATATAAGGCACCTAGGCACCTGTCAATTTCAAATGTTTGACCACTGTGCAAATCACTGGCCCATTCTGTTCCAGGGATTCCTCTTTCAAGCAGCCTGTGACTGAAAAGAACGAAGGCTGAAAACCATGCAAGTGCTGAACCCCTACCATGGCAAATGGTCCAAAAGGCTTCAAAACTGCGATCACGACTCGTGAGGACGTACCCCTGATGGCCCCAATGCGTAGAATCATATACCCCAAATGTCGGTGATATATGAGGGCTGCATCCTCCGGGGCACCCTCCTTGGCCCAGTCAAAGGCTCGGGCACTTGCTGTAGGTTGGCCATATGTTGGGTCGAAATATGATGTACCCTCTATAGAAAATTGTAAATTGGTGGGATATAACATGGTTGGTGGACATATATCTCCACCCAAATGTCACACGGAAGGGTTCCCCAATTACATGCGAAATGTAGTCTCCCATGAGAACGGCCTTGATCGAGCCCCATCCTTGAATTCAATTTGTCTCCGAGTTGGGTAACCCATCTTCCGCCCCCCCCCCCAAAAAAAAAAAAAAAAACACAATAAGTTATCTTTGCTGTTGGCTTGCTTTTCAACAGCCAAACAAAAAAGGTACCCCTCTTAAAAAAATATTCCCCATCGATTCCTTTACACACCACATGGTCCTGCCCATTCTCTGAGGATCCCTGAAAAGAGGAGTACTGGAGGAGCCCTCAGACAAAAAATACATAGCTGTTGAGTCCCATGACCAAGAGTCCGCCAAAGGCAGCCCGATTGAGCCTCCGACGGAGCGGGGCACACAAAGCGGGACATGCTGCGAGCCAAATGCCACCAGGTGCCTTTTGAACCACAAGTCCCTTAAAAGCCCAAACTCCAGGGGAAAAAGCAAAATTAGTACCAAACTGCGCGGGGGGGGGGGGGGAAGGGGGGGGCTGCTTGACGGAACTACTCCTTTTAAAGCGGCAAAAGCGTGAAACCATGAACTAGCTCCTGGTCCTGCGCACTGCCTGCGCCGCTGGCTTTGGAGAAGAAAACAAAAGCAAGGCACAAACAAGCTCAAAAACAAGCTCGAAAACGGAGGTCTGGACGTATCTGGGTCTGTCTCAAATTAGATGGACGCTTTTTGGGATGGTTTTACAGGAAAGTTAAAAGGAACCTTTCACCTGGAGGGTCCCTAATGTGGACAAACACTAGCTTGGGCTTCGTGCTCAAAGCCAGTTGTGCTGCCGCCATCGGCTTGGGCGGTTTGGAGTGGGCCGGCAGATTTCTTTTCCTCAGCGTCTAAGTCTTTGGGACGTTGGACGTCAAAGTCACGGCCAACACCATGAGGCTACGAGGTGGCCATTACCTTCATGAGTAATTAGCAAACGAGACAAACCTGGTAAGTCCAGCGGACCTCTAGGCTGCAGCTGCTACAAGGCTTCAAGTGCATAGACCAGGGTTGTGCTCTGCCAAACCGAGCTAAGTCACGATCCCAGGACCGAAATGTGATCAGCTTACACATTCCCTAGCCCCTGCTGTGGATGGACGGAATCCTGCACCACTTTGAAACCACGGGAAACCATTGTTGGTTGGTATTTACAGGGGAATTCCCATTCCAGGGTTTCTTAGGTGGTGCAGGATTTCGTCCATCCACAGTATGACCCGTTCGGCTCCGAAGTGGCGGTCACTGCGGCCCTGTACATCCGTGCCGATGGCGGTTACTGCGGCGCTCGGCGCTCACGCCGGGCGGAACGATCGGCCTAGCCCTTGAGCTCAATGGTCTCGCCTCCGAGCCTCGGCGTCACGGGGCCCGTGGTACATGTGGATCCCCAGTTACCAGTACTATGCCCAGCGGCCATGAGAAAAACAGGGCATCCGTTTTTGATTGGTTGAGTGATGTTGAGTGTAAAGGGGAACCCTTCCGCCACAAAAGGAAGAATGGGCGACACTGGGCAACTGGGAGTAGGGAACCAGCCATTTTCATTTTGGTTTTTGAAGGGCTCCCCTGGTTACCTAACCAGGATGGAATCATTGGGACAAGGAAACCGAGCAACGCCTCCGGACAAAACTTTGCTTGGAAGCGCGACCAACTTGCAAGAACCTTTAACCCCCCCCAAACAAGAAAACATTCACCAAATGTGGCATGGCCTATGGTCATGAAATCCTTACCAAGCGGATGGCCATCCTTGTTAACCCCAAGTAAAGGGGTCTTTTGACCTTTGCGGCTTGTCGAGTTGGGAAGAAAAGCCGAGGGCCCGAGAAAAAGGCACCTGGAACAAAGAAAAGCACCCGTCAACCCTGTTAAATCAAATGGAAACTCAAATCCAAAGGTTAACTTAAACCTTGACACCTCCTTTGTTACAGGTACTGATCCCAACTGTCACCGAAGCCAGACGCCACTTGTGCACCATGTGTCTGTTTTTATTTTTCTTTTTTTTCCTGTTTTTGTTTTCCGCAATTCACCAACCGAAAATAAGGGCTCGCCTCTTCGAAATCCCGGGGGCCGAATCACAATCCGCAATTGCCCCTAATCCTTGTTCTAGTTGGTAATCTTCTGAATCCGCAATCCGCACTGCAAATTGTGGGTCGAAACGTGCTGCGGGAGCATCGACAATCCAAGCCACCCATAATCTGCAATCCGCAAGCCGCGTGATCTAATGTGTAAAACCGCATCATCCGCAATCCGCTAGTCATTGGGGATCGATTCGGTTTTGAACAAGTTTGCAATAGCCTTCATAGGTGACGCCGCCCACCCCCAGGTGACGCAGCTTCTCTAAGGCCAATGGCTGAGAAAATGTCTCCATGCGCGCCCTCTGGTCTTCGTTCTCCCGAGTGATCCTGTCTCTTCAACCGCACCACTCCTATTGCCAGCCCCCCACCCCCCCGCCCATGCAAGACAAGCCAACAGTTGCAGGTTTCTATTTCTCGGTCAGTGGGATAGTGCACATGGCCGTTGCAAGGTCCCAACGAAGTTCAAGGTCAAAGATCCAAGCACATGGCAGCTAAACCCTGGCCACACGATCCCGTGGCCTTTCTGCGTCGCCCCCCTGCAGGCGTCGCATGATGAGGTCAGCCACCTAGTGCATGGTTGCCAAGTTGCCCAAAGTCTCGGGCTGGCAGAACAAAGAACATGTTCTGATTTTGTGGCGTGGGGAACCGACCAACAAAAGGAAAGGGGGCTACTGAGGAGCTGGGTGCAGAGGCCAGCTCGCTCCATCTCTATTTCCGGGATACACATATTGTGGAATTGCTGCCCCACGGCGCGTTGGTACTAAACGCCACAACAGAGGAGGGGGAGGAGGAGGAGGAGGAGGACTGATTAGGAGGCTCTCATTTTTGGAAACTCTCCTCATGGCTTGTTGCCACCCCAGCCTCTCTCGCCTTTTCGGCCTCATTTGGCCATTTTGCAGGGAGGTCCGCCCAAGACTTCGTTGGACGCTCAGATTGCAGGGCCATCTGGCGCCTGGGTTTAGACTCACCCAGTGCGACCTGAAAAGCTTAGCTCATGGGGAAACCTCCAGAATCATAGGTGGCCTTTTGGGAAAAAAGGATGGCCCTGGTAAATGGAACAAACCAACCCAAAAAGAACACCTATGTCCAGCATGCTTTCCCTTAAACCAAGCTCAAAACAGCAAGCCCACTCCTAGCTTTCAAGGCATTCAGTCGAGGTCAAGCCCCAAGATCGCCTCCTTGCGGCTGATGGGTCGATCTTGCCCGGTCTTCCTGCGCAGCCAAAGTCCAGACGCTGGAAGAAGTGTACAAGTGGCTCGTTTGCTAAGGGCAAAATGGAAACCAACGAATGCCTGCAAGCCCGAATCTGGAATTTGGCCCTCAGCTAAGGTCATTTCCTCGGGCAATGCGCCTTGCTTCCTCCAGGTTTCTGAGATGCGCACCCCTCGGAATGAGTTGCGGACACGAATTCCCAACTAGATGATTCGATGTCAACCAAAGGGTCCCCACCCATACAGCCCTAGACTTGTTTTAGGGAACCCGTTTTGATCGGCATTGTCAGGCAAGGGTTTTGGAGGGATGGATGCTTGTACACCGCCAATATAAGCTTGAAAGGCAGCATGTACCCCTTGTATAAGTGACGTTAACCTTCATACCTCCGAGACCCTGAAACTGCCCTCAACAAAAGGGACGACCAAGGAAAGCCAAGGAACCAAACGCCTGCGTGACGCCCGGCGCCTATTCACGCAAGAGACCACAAAGCTGCCCAGCGCTCGGTAGCCTCGTCAAAAGCTAAACTTCGGGCAGCTCCACGCCCCGAGCGAAAACGTGAAGGTAGCCTTTCTTTAGGGGCGATACCGTCACACCCGAGGATTTTTGTTGTCGGCGTGCCGATCTAGGGGTAGTCCCCGCGCCAAGCCAGTGGCAGAAAGACAATGCTGAAACTGGGTGCCCGAAAGAGTAGAACCCTCAAAGCCCGCTATGTCTCAGGCCTATGATTTATCGTACCCTGAGAGTCGAAAAAGGGTCAAAGAAGCATGTTTCTTATTCGGGGGGGAGGTCCCTTTAATTAGAGAAAGTGATCAGTTGGGACTTTCGAGGTCTTTCCCGATGCTCGTATGAACATAGCTGGTCTGAGTGTATCCATTTAGGAAATGGTATTTTAAAACCTTGATCGTGGTTGATAATTTGCTTCCATAAAGAATTGCATGCCAAATGTGTCTTTCGCATGCCTTCTGTTGCGGTGCATGACTGTTTGGCAGGGAAATGTTTTGATCCCTTCAAAAAGGGTTCTTCCTTTGCCGGTCTTCTCCTTGGAAGTCCCTCTCCAAGTTTCAAACACTTTCCCCTTTGCCACGTGCAGTCAACGCGCCTTGCTGGCAAGGTTTGTGATAACCGACCTTCGAATCACTTCCAGCAGAAAAACAAAACAAAGCACATGTTGATTTTTGTCGGCCCCCTGGTTTGCAGTGTTTCGTGCCAGAGTCCAGCTTTAGTTGTAGCGCGAAGTACGCTTTCCTTCCCTGGTCAAAAAAGAGGCTTGCAGGATGCAAGTTTCAGGCAAGGGGTTTGGATTGTTCAATCTTTAACAGTTTTGATTCTTCCAAACCCCAGGTTTCAACCCCAGTTGTTCAGAGGTTCCACACTCCTCTTCTTTATTCTATGTCAACCTGGGGTGTGGAACCTGTGAGTCTCAAAGAAATTGGGTGGCTTTCTGGGGACTGATGCTGTTGGGCTTGGTGAGGAAATACAGGTTTCAAATTGGCTACGTAGGATTCCCGGCGGGATTTCTACAAACGAAAAACACTTAGTATTAGGGGGACACTTATCAGGTGCAAGGGAGCAATCCTTGAGGCCTACAAAAATGGAACAGCTCTACCGGATCATTTAGGGATTCCTCGAAAACCGCTGGGTAGGGTTTTGCATCGAATCTGAGGACCCCTGCCTAAGAGAGCGCGAGCAGCCCGATTGGGTTCGCTCTGCGTGGTCAAGAAGTTGTCGTCAAAGAACAACCGCCTCAGATGGCTTGAGAACCACAATCAGATCAGAAGCTACCAACCAACCTGCAGATTGACCCACTTCCTGAGTGGATGGCCCAGAAAAGTCCAAACTTGTTGTTTTTGCCACTCAAATGGTATTCCCAACAATGAACGGAAGTGAGCTAGCATGGAATCCAAATCTCCTTTTCGGGTTCCTTCCGAAAAGTTTGTGGAGTAAGCCACAGGAATATCCCCAAGCCCGGAGCCGGCCTGCAATTTCAACCCGGAGCCGGGGACCCCAAATGGGGGAAGAACAAACCGGCTGCAAAAGTTGAGCTGGACTGGCAAGTCTGAGCCCCTGCCAAGTCCAGGTGGCATATCCCACTCCATGTATGCAATCATACTTACCCACATTTACCCTCTAAATGGGACAAAGGTCGGTTTCTATCACCTACATAGATGGTGTAGGTATTGACCCCTTCCTCACTTAAGGCAACCTGAATTTAGGGAGCTGCAAGAACCTCAAGACCAGACGGGGGCATGGGGCCGAAAGCTCGACATGGGTCGTATCAGTCACCACATGGCTTCTTGACCGTTCCAAAGGCAAGGCTTGTGGGGTCAAATACTGTGGCTGGACAAAACGGATAGATTCGGGTGAAAGAAAAGGAATTCAAACAGCGACCACACTCACCTTCCGTGCCCGCGCCCTTTCCAATGCCTCTGAATGACATATGTTCAACTAACATGACCCGAAAAGCACACGAGGAAAAGAATGTCAAAACAGTCAAACCTGAAAGGTCAACACACTAGTTAACATGGAAAGACCCGAAGGTCCACCTCCAGCTTTTGCAACCAACCAATACAGTCTATTCCGGACCCCATTCAGTACAACTTAAAATGCACATTTCAAAACAGTTCCCAGGAAAGATTAAGGCTGGCGTTCTGGCCATTGAATCAAACCGAGGCAGGATCCACATGTCATCTCCTCCGTTGCTCGGGCCGTAACCTGCAAATGAGCGGTATGCCCGGATGCATTTGGATGTCTTTCCCGAGAGTACCCCTTCTTTGGTGGGGTAAAGGGAAACCAAAAGGACAACCACAAAAATTGCTGCGTCCCTAAAACAAAACACGCCCCTATACATAAAACCCATTGCTCGCCCACAACTTGGTAGAACCCGTTTGGAGGAAAACGGTCACATTTTGTTAGGACCTCCTTTGCGCACCCTTGATGGATACATTTGGGTCAAATCAAACATCACTTTTAATTTAAAGAACCCTTGTAAAGCAAGTGGTGTTTGGTTGTTTTCCTTGAACAATTCCCTGTGGGTAAGCAAAGCGAGGGAAGGGGGCGACTAAACAATAATTACGGAATTGTGCCATGAACATTCACCCAACTGTAAGGAATCCCCTTCCAGTCCATTCCCAACACCTGAAAGGTCACTCCACGCCTGGTATGAAGGACGAAGTGACCTTGGGCCATGATCGGCCATCTGACTTGTCTCTTCCAAAACTTCCCCAACCATCCCAGTGCTTCCCTTTCCCTCTGTTATACATAAGGGAACCACCGCGTCAAAACTACAAATGGCAGTTTGCCTAATATCGTGGTAGCTGGGCAGGGAGGGAAAGGAAAGGCTGACACCTTCGTTGGTCAGGTCATTTTCTAGGAACTCCCACCTCCTTTTTGCAAAGGGACATGTGACGGAACCCAAATGGTTGGCTTCATGAAGCGCAAAATAAACTCTCTTGACCTCATCCCTTCTATAAACCAATAGAGTCGCCTGGCAATCCAAGCTTCCGCGGATTCCAGCATCCGTCCACCGGCAACAAACAATATTCAGAAAATTCAAGTGACCTAGCATCAAGCCGGGAAACGGAATCCTAACCCCATGTTCAGAGATCTCTTCTTCAGCCCAACAAAAAGGGAACTACGGACAAGAGCTTTTTGTCTGCCATTCTATTTCCTTTTCAACAACCTCCCAAAGCTTCTAGACACTGACCCATAAACTAGGGGAACCCCCAAATCACCAAACGTCCGGCGAAATGGCGGTGTCAAAGAAACTACGGGTTTTACAGCATCTGCTTACTTGACCGAAGTGGCTAGTCATGAAGTTATGAACACATATAAAACCCAATCAGGAGGGCTATAACTTAATAACCTCAGCCAAAATGGAGGGCCAAGTAGCCCCTCCCGCTTTGAGCAAAGCGGCCGAGGCCCACTTGTACTTCTTCAAGGCGCGCTCGACCTGGCGATGGTTTGTCTCCGACTTCCAAACAATTCATTGTTCGCAGGTTGAAACGGAGTATGAAGGAAAAAGAAAGGAGAGCAAAACGGTCAGTTCCTTCTCTAAGGTCTTGTTAGGCCCCTTGAGTCCCTTTTGGCAGGGGGCCCATCTGTTGAGTTGAATCGACTCTGTGAATGGTTGGCGTAAGCAGCTGTTTGGGGTTCGCTTTGGACAAAGGCAAGCTGAAAGGTGTCGAAAAGGACCCCCTGAAATTCTGGAGGCCCAAGCGCCGACTCAAAAACTCGGAAAGGCTGGTGGGAAAATGCAGACATGTGCAACTTAGGGAACTCCGTGCTAGACGCCAGCAACATGATCACCAAAGATCAAGCCAAACACCAGTCAAGTGACCCAAACGTTGATCCATTGGCTCACAGAGAGCCAAAGAGCGATCTCTAGGCCCCTGGCGCCCGGCTCGGGCTCCGCGTCATCCGCCAGGATGCCGGCAGCAGAGGAGGAGGGGGCCTTCGCAGGTGGCCGTCTTCCATAGGGAGGTTGAGTTTTTTTTGTTTTAAGCATAGCCCCCGCTTTTTACTAGCCCCGGCTCAAGGCCTCCCTTTAAAGAGGTTGGCTGGGGGTCAGGTTGGTGGGCCGAGTCCCCAGCATCCCCGATTGCTTGCCGTTGAGAGTTGCTCGGGTTCAACCGGCCGCATCCCTAGCATCACTGGCCTCGCTCGGACTAGGGCTGCCTGTTGGTGGCAGTTCAGAGTTGCTCGGGGCTGGTTAAGGGTGAGTGTTGTCCTTGCTGAGGTCTGAAGGAGAGCAGGTCTTGGGTTTGTCTGGGGTTCATTTAGGCTCGGCAAAGGGCTGATATGCAGGATGCGGTTGGGAGGGTTTAAGATTGACGGGTCGCTTTTGTTTGGTTTGGGGCTGATTGGTGCAAGGTGTGCGGCTGGTTTAACCGCAACCCAACACTCACCCTTAACCAGCCCCGAGCAACTCTGAATTGCCACCAAGTCAAAGCCAATAGGCAGCCCTAGTCCGAGCGAAGCCAGTGATGCTGGGGATGCAGCTGGGTAAACCCGAGCAACTCTCAACTACCACCAAATCACGCGGATGCTGGGATGCGGCCGCCCAGCCGACCGACCAACCGACCCACCCACCGACCAACCAACCAACCAACCAAGCAACCAAGCAAGCAACCAACCAACCAACCAACCAAGCAACCAACCAACCAACCAGCCCCCTACCGGGGTAAGCCCCAAGCCGGGGCTAGTAAGAGAAAAAAACACCAATTCCCCATAGGGAATGTAAGATGCTCAAGGGCAAGTCAAGAAACAAGGCGCTTTAAAAATCAGTCCCTACCTTGTTTGTTCTGTTTGGTATAGGTTCCCTGAGATGGATTTGGGTATGTGTCGAAACAGGGCCTGTGACCCCATAAATGGGGGTGGTGTTCCTTTTCAAGCCGAGGTGAAAGGGGGTATCCTGAGAAAGAACACCTATAGCAAGGGAATCACAGCGGGATGTGAAACCTAGTTAAAGAGCAACGCCAAAAAAGAAGGGGGCACAAAAGACCAACCAAGGACCTAAGGGGTTTCATCCTGATTCAAGGGAACGAGAGATAAGCAAGGGGTACAAGAAAACCTGGCAGGAGTCCATTTAGCATCATGCCGACTTGATGAGTTTCCTTGATATAAAACGAAGAAACCGTTCGAAGCTTCTGCCTCAATTCAACGAAGCTTTGTGCAAGGGATGCAGGAAGCCGGAAAAAAAAAGGGAGTTCAATCCTAATTCAAGGAACAAACACAACAGATTGCCACCGCGCCTCAAAGTCTGGATCCTCCTGCAGCATTTTGCAGAGCTGCTCTTTCCGCGAGAAGTCCCCACAGGGCACATGAATAAAGCAGCCTGCGCCGGTGGCGTACCCCTTGTTTTCGCCAGCACAAACAACCAGCGAGCCTGGTGCCTCGCGCCCTGGATGTTGACATGTACCCACCCCCTACCCAAAAACCCAAGGTCGTCAAAGAGTCGACGCCCAGGCCTCCAACAAACCGCTGAACAGAGATCGGATCAGCCAACTTAATGACACCGCTACACGTTCAGACCTGAACTGATCGCTGAGAGTCCCTCGTGACCTCGAAACATCTACTCACTTCCGCGACTTGCTCCGGCAGGGCGCTTTAATGATCACGGACATCATCTTCGTACACATGTGAATTTCAGAAACTGAAGCAGTGAGCTTGAACACCTGGAACCCTTTTTTTTAATCAACCGTTTACAAATGCCGGTTTCCCTTTGAACTGCCAGGTTTCAAGGTCTCTTCAAGGTTGGTTCTTTAGGAAACCATTTGGGTGTCTATTTCCTGGGTGCCTGTTTGGGCTACAGGAAACCCACCATGGGGTCCTCAAACTAAAATCAGGTCCATTTGCAACTCAGTGCTTCAGGCGCCAGGCCTGACTTGCTGGTGAAGTCCTTCAGTTCCTGCTCCTCCTCCTCCTCCGTGTCGGAGGCCAGGTCTGGCCAAAGGACGGGACTTCGAGCCCTTTGGCAGTTCCTACGTTTCATACTGTGGATGGGTCCTCGAATTCCTGCACCAAGAAAGCCTGGAATGATTCGATTCCCCGGTAAATTCCAACCAGCAATGGCTTCTCATGGGTAAGTGGTGCCAAGGCAACGCCTCTACCCTGCCTGCGGCGAACTTGTCCCATTTCGAGTAATTCGTCATGATCAAGCTCTTTGCTTGTTGAGTGCTCAGGTGTGTTTATTCATGGAACCTATCTCACGTGGCTGATTGGTTCGCGCTTTTGCCTCGAAAAAGCTGCACGATGCTTGTGTCCTGGGCTTGGGCGTTCTATGTCTGGCTGAAACGGCGAAGGCGGGTCCCAACCGCCTGAGCTGCGTTCGATGGCCAATGGCCAAGAAATCAAGCGCAAAGCGAGCATTGAGAAGTGCAGGCAAGCTGTGCCACTCAGCGGCAAAAAGTATTGCCCTGCAATCAACATGGAACCCCAAAAGACCCGTGTAGAAGAATCTCCTTTTAGAATTCATGTAGTTTGCAGGAAGGTGATGTCGGACCCGCGTTTGCGATTGGGTACGCTTTTATTCGATGTGCTTTTCCTAATTCAGAATCCCAGCTTTTTTGGGGTTGGCAAATATCCCAGATCAACACCTTAGCCATTTACGTTTACCGCGTGGTTCATCCTGAGCTCTGTTGAGCTCAAAGGTAAAAGCCTCAACAATACTAAATTTAGAGATGGCAAATCTAAATTAAATAAATCTGAGAGTAAGTCTTGGCAATACTAATTAACTACTGGCAATACTAGAGGCGAAAGCGAACCCACTCGTGGGCCTGTTCCAGGGGGGCGGGGGCAGTGCTATTCAAGCAATCCCAACATTAAAAACCACTTAGTTCGCTGTGTGAGTCTATATGAGGCTGAGACATGCGCAGATTTTCCCACGCGCCGGCGCGGCGCGGGACGCAGAAGCGGACCTCGGATCGGGGAAAGCAACCGTGATATGGCGAAAGACGGAACGAAAGGTTTCAAGGCTCCCCGGTGTCACTGTCAAACTGTGTGATCCCCATCCTAACCCTTCTCAGAGGTCACCCCCTTTTCGCCGGAAAATCGATCCACTTTAGTGGATTCGTCCGATTGGGGTCTGCCTGACTAATTTGACAAGTGCGTGAAAGTACATGCCATTCCTGTAGTGAAAAGAGCCAAGCAGGAAGTTGGCATACCACACATACCAAAGCTCGTAAGGCAGTACATACCCCCCCCAAGGTTCAATTACCACTAACGAACGGTTGACCCAATCTAAATGATGAGACTCCTTAGGTAAACAATGGTGGCTGTAGTAACCGCCATTGAAACACTGGTTTGAACCCTAGGGCGCCTAGCGGTTTATCTCCAAACCTCCAAACCCTACCTGGGAGGTACCTGAAACGCCTTTTGGGCTCCAAGCCCGGACATGGCGTGCAGCACCTTCGCCTTCTCCGCTGCTGAGAGGTTCAGAGTTTCCAGCCTGCGCGAAGGGAAACCCAAGGGAAACTCACCTTGGGGACCAAAAGGTGATGTGAGTCACTTGCTCAAAACCATGTAAAGAATTAAAAAGGCGGCCGCAGCTATTTCTGGTTGGGATTGTCCTTTACTAACCATCATCTACCCGGGTTGTGATTGTGGCTCATATAATTCCCCAACAGCTGAAAGCTTTGGGGTCTCAGCCCAGATAGGCTCCGGGGTGGTTCGGGGCGGCCTGCGGCAAGGTTCCACGCGGTTCCACCAGGGTTCCACCAGGGTTCCACCAGGGTTCCACCAGGGTTCCACCAGGGTTCCGGCGAGCACTAAAATTAGCATCGCATGCTGTTGGGGATATCACCTGAGTTTATGTTTATTTGAAACCACCAAAAGGGGCAATGTATAGGGGACCCTGCTATATACTGCTTCTACAGGGGGATGTATTGCCTATATAAGCTGTTCACTGCTTTCTGAAGGTATGTACTGCAAAATGGGCACATAATAAGGCACACATGCTCTACAAGGGGGACTGATGGCATATCGGCGTCCACGGTGGAATTGGCTTTGTCAAAAAAAAAAACGAGGGAACCCAGAATGGATGGTCTCCCGTCCGTGTCCAGCTAGAACAAGCAACCCTGGGGTTCCCCCCCAAGTAACAGCGCACTCAAATACATGGACAACCTGGAGATGCGCATGGGAAAACCAGGATGGCCATTTGTTGCTACGAGTTCTTCTTTTCTCCAAAAGGAAGCCATTTTTACAGCTCCTCTTTCCAACAATCATGTAAGCGGACAGTGCCTTCTCAAGATGATGGTAGTCCTCCAAAACCCTCCTTTCAATTTTATGACTGCTGGAATGAGTGTATGAATTGGTCCATACCTTGTTGTGTCCAACAATTGAGTCTTCACCCATTTTTCTAAAATGGAGCACCCCCCAAAATGGGTGGCTGTCTCTTTGGTTTAGTGCAAAAGCTTTTTCCTTTGGCTATTCGGTCAACCGAAGAGCAATCGAGGCGCAGGGAGGTGTCCCCAAGCTGTGACTCTCCTTTGGGATCCTAGGCCTCATGAAGGCTGGCTACCAACCGTCTAAGATATGGTTTCCACTGCCCCGAAACCACTACCCCCAAGGGTTTGATGGGATAAAAACAGCCACTATAATGCCAGTATATGAAGGGTACGGAAACTACCCGTGTAGGGGGTTGGCGTAGTGGAACCCATCTTGGATTCATGAAGTCATGGAAAGCCATCACTTTCAAAAAGATTTCTCCTTCGAAGAAATGAGGCTGTGGCCCGAGTATGGAGCCCGTGAAGCTGTCCGTCACCGTGGTTCCCTGCGGCTCCTCAGGGATTCCGGGATAGCTAGCCTGGAGGTATGGGATGAATCGAATGCCACCAATATAAGCTTGTAACTTGCACGCGGTATATACTCCTTATAAAGGTGGTATATATCCTCCATATGGTGCTGGTTTTTGAGGAAGGACAGCTATGCGAGAATTCGGTGCACCTCTTTTGAGGCTGCTCAACCTTGGCGTGCTTTAGTTTCTACGAAACATTTTTCTGGGCCAGACTTGAACCCAGGACTACTTACAAAGGTCCTAAGGTCTTTACAAATCTGAAATGAACATACCAACAGAGACTAAGAAAGGTTGTGTTCATACCCTTCCTGTCCCATTCAAAGAGGGAATCATTGTCACTTTTCTGGGAACCATCCCCGTACAATCTCCCGGTTGGGTGAGGGGCTGCCAAAGATTCCAATTGGCCAATTCCAATTAGCAGTTGGGTTGTGCGCAAACAAAACAAGGCAGAAACTCCTTCAACGTCCTTGGACTTCCTAGGATTACTCCTTCAAGAATGTAACCCCGGATCCACATAAGTAGAATCTAATGGATTCATAGTGGGCCTCGCTTTCCTCATGTCAGGCTCTCTTCCACCAAAAATGTATGTCCGTGGTTTCCTGGCCACGGGGTCTTGGTCTCCAAAGCGCATCCTTACAGGATTTCATAGGAATTTCTTAAGGAACCTTAAGCAGGGTACAGTACCCTCAAACCACAGCCCCAAATGGGACCCCGAACGCAAATTCCGAATGCAATGTCTGAGACTTGCACCAGGCGAGGTGAAGGGCCTGCTGGGCAAGCCGCCCGCTCAATGGCGTCCCTGAGGCCTGAGGCCGTGAGTTTTGATCACCTGTCATGCAACTTTAACCCCGGATTCATAAACCCATCAGTCCAAAAAGGGGGGGGTGGAGTGTGGAACCCTCAAAAAGTGAAGGATCCAAACAAGGACACCCCCTTGCTAATCCACCGTGATTTTGTTTGACAACAACTGCGGGATTGACCTCACCCGTCCAAGGGTTTGCTATACCATGTATATTGCCTTACCAATACACGCCGTTTGCAATTGATATGTTAGCTAGTTCAACGATCCTAAGGTTTCCCTATGAAAGCAATGGGTGAGCTTGCGTCCAAACCCCTGGCTGAGGTTGCTGTCCTTTGCAACCTGAGCGCGTGTTCACTTCAGCAAACTTCTGCAAACCTCCAGATGTTGTTTGAGACATATGGAGCTGTGAGAGTTGTGGTGCGATTTGACTTTTTACCTGGAACCCGGAATAACCATCTACAAGTGGTTTCCCAAACTGCCAGTTTCCATCAGTGTCTCTTCATATGGTTGTTGGGAAACCACCACTTGCAGCCGGTTGCTTCAGGTTCTAGGTAGGGGTAGGAAACCATTAAATCAAGCACCAGGGAAAACGGCTAAACCGGTCGAGCAGAGTCGGAATCTACCGCAAAAGACATCGTCAGTAGATGCTCCCTCAAAGCCAGCCACTTGCCATAATCCAAGGCTTCTGTCAAGAATCCGAGTCTTTGGTTTCCTGAGGAACCATTGTTTATCACTTTTTCATCAACACCCAACACCCCCAAAAAGCCCCAAAACCCCCAAAGCCCCAAAGCCCCAAAAAACGCAAAACCTCAAAATCCCAACACCTCAAAATCCCAAAACCTCAAAGCCCCGAAACCCCTAAAACCCCAAAATCCCAAAACCCCAAAATCCCAAAATCCCAACACCTCCAAACCCCAGCAAATCCAATTGAAACCATATGTCTCAAACCCCAAAGGTCTGCCTTCCCAGTTCCCAGTTCGGCCTTGCATCGCCTCCGCCACCTCGCAGCGCGTGGCCGCAGCTGCGAAGGTTGCAGCGCCTCTTGGCGGCGGCCGGGGGGTTTCTCTTCTTGACTCGGCGCCCCACGACTTTCGTGGCTTTAGAGGACCGCGTGAACAGCAAGTTTTGCTCCCAAAGGGTGGACTCATGGGATGGGACTAGCGTGACCGCCGAGCCCAAGGCTCGTCGGCTTCGCCGGCGCCGCCGCTTTTGGTGCCGCGGAAGTTTGCGCTGCGGAAGTTTGCGCCGCCGGAAGGCGTTGCAGCATCTCCTGCCGGAAGGTGGCGAAAGGAACTGTGGTCCGAACCACTCTCCTTGCGTTTCATTAACTCGCGCGTGTTTAGTTGCAAGGCAATTTTGCACCACATAAGACACCAGGGTTGAAACCGTGGCGTTTCTGTTCATGTGTTTATTTGCCTATGTGTTCTCGTCTCTTTTCCTTCCTTCGCCCTTTTATTTATATTTGTTGGAGATTAAAGCATGGAAGGAATAAACGGGGAAGAGAGAAAGGGAAAGAAAGAGAGAAGGAGAGAAAGAGAGAGAGAGAGAGTGAGGGAGGGAGGGAGGGAGGGAGAGAGAGAGAGTGAGCGAGGGAAGGACGGAGGGAGGGGGAGAGAGACGGAGACAGACAGAGAGAGAGAGAGAGAAAGAGAGAGAGAGAGAGTGCTTCCATGGCAGCCGATTATCTGTCACAGCTCTTCTCACTATCTTCTTCATCCCTTTTAGCATCCTTTCTCGCTCTTCTCTGGAAAGCTCAAAGAGAGTGCAGAGACGACGATGAAAGGACGGCCTTTCCTTATGCCACAGCGTACCATCGAAGAGTGGTGCTGTTTTTGTTTGGTTCATGTTGCTGCTGTGATTGCTGTGATTTGATACGTGGGGCAGGGCAACCCTTTAATTTCACCTCATCGAAAATAGAATTCAGGATCATCCCTGGCTGCACGTGGAAGCCAAACCGCAAAGCTTCTGCTCCGTTTGGCCAGCTTGGAAAGGCTGTACCCCCCAACAAAGCCTTTGCCGCACTGGGTAACCCGGTTTACTGTAGTTGTCCCTTTCATTTCCCGAAAAAGGGTAGCAACTCTCACTCAGTTGTCCAAAGAACTCAGAATTACAGGGTCATCACCTTTTTGGACCTTCAGAAACATAGACCAACAGTGAAAAACCACAAGGTCAGAAGTCCGGTCGGATTTCGGCCACCAACTCTCACTTTTCCGGCTTGACCCCGATTCCATCGAGCGTTGCCACAAGCACCCCGCAAGGCCTCGGCCTCTTGCAAGTCCGGGTCACTGGGGAAGACTAAGTCTCGCAGCCTCGGAACTATGAACATGTACGTAAAGGGCTGACAGGCTTGATAGGATTCTCAGGGATCTCTCAGCACTTTGGGCCTTTCAAAGCTGAAAACAAGGGGATCTCTCAGTTTTGTGCTTCCTCACGTTGAAAATGGTCAGGGGTCCCTTGTTTTCAGCTTTCAAAGGCCCAAAGTAGCTTTGGACAGCTGAATACTGATGGAGACTAGGTTTTCCAGGTTTGTTTAGGGAAACTCTCAGCACTTTGGGCAATTGAAAACTGAAAACAAGGCACCTCTCAGCATGTGCTTCCACAAGCCCAAAGTGCTGCCAGGTCCTTTGCTTTCAGCTTTCAGGCAATTCTATGAAGGCAGCAAAATAGGGACCTCTCAACATGATGACATTGGAAAAGCTTTGAGGTGCCTGCTCAAGCAATTCTATTGTAAGGAGCCTTGCTTCACTTGAGGGCTTGTGCGCAAGGGAAATGCTTCAATTTCAGTTCTATAGGTTGTCACGTTCTAAACTGCAAGGCTTTGAGTTAAGCAGGATCTCAATTAGAGCTCAATTAACATTAGCATGTTGAACTAGATTTTGAATAGGAAGTTATTTTCACGTAGGGCTGTAATTATAATTTAATTACAACTCTGGTGCGGAAAGACAAGCTGGTTGCTTCTTCTAATTAGGTTAACTGGATTTCTCAGTCTTAAACAGGAGTTCCTTTTCAAGCAGGAATTGAATTAGATTTTGAATATGATTTAAGAAATATGTTTAATTAGGTTCTAATTCTGCATTGGATGTTCAACTGGATGTTCTTTCCCAGTAGGATTGTAACTATAATTTAAAACTCGCCTAAAAGGGAATGCCTGCCCATCAAATAGAGTGAATAACCTATGGAAATCCAAGGAACTCCAATTTCAGTTCTATTGGTTTACAAGTGTGAAATTGCAAGGTAGGATTCGTGTTCCTTTCCAAGAAGGAACTTAATTAGAATTTAAATAGAACTTATAGAGGAAAAACGTGCTGGTTATTTCCTCGACTGCGCCTGCTCCTTAAATGGAGCAAAACACCGGAAGAAACTCAAGGAAAGCGCAAATTCAGTTCAAGTGGTTTGCATCTTGACAATTACAAGGCTTCATCGGATTTCGATTGGAATTCCTACTTTAAATGAGATGTTCAATAGGAACTCCTTTCCAAGTAGGAATTCAACTCTGTCTTGTTATTCGCGTGCCACCTAAAAGGAATTAAAGCCGATCACACGTCAAGGACATGCAATTTCAGCATACCCCCAAGCGGACCAGAGCTTTGGGCGCTGCACATGTGTCATATGGTCCAAACCCCGAAACTGTCGGGCCATGGTCCTGGTGGCGGGTCACGACCATCCCTTCCAACTCCAATGCCAAGAAAAACATTTTTTTGACCATAGCACAAAGGCGTTGTCCAAGATGGCGGCCATTCACCTTCTCCCTTCTGGGGCTATGGCGAATGCTGCCAAGCCACTTATGCGTTGAACCCACCAGAGGGCCCCTTTTGGAGCAAACTACGCTTCCTGAAATCCCAGTCAGGTTCCATGGCAACGGGAGGCTAAGTTGCCATGCGCGTCTTTTGACCAATCCTTTAGCTCCCAGTGGGAAGAATGAGACAGAAACCATGTCAGTGCTAAATGAAGGGTCTGGAAAAATCAGACAAAAACAAAAAACAGCCCCTCCTGGGTCTCCTTCGGTTTAAAAGGTCTGTTTCATACTTACCGCCCAATGTAAGCAATTGCTCTATTGTGAGGCTCACAACCCCCACTAACTTCAACCTTTCGCTTAGCACCGGGCACTTCAGCGGCTGATGCCCAGGTCTCCCGCGCTCTCACCTCGCAAGGGGAAGAACTCCGCATTGCGTGTGCGACATGTCTTTGATCAGCATCGTTGGCTCATCTTCCGCTTCAATTTGCGACCTCGAGGCAACAGCTTCCAAACGGAGCCTCGCGGCCCGGAAAGCCGAAGCCAAACGTCCCAAGAATTTCGCCCTGAACCGAAGAGCTTCAAGCTGTGGAGCCGGCAGTATCGCCCGCCCGAAGAGTCAGGCCGGCAAGCTTGCACCTGGGCAAGTGTCAGTGTCCAATCACGAGTCATGTCTTGACGATGAAATCCATACTGCAACCAACATGTGCCAACGCTGCAACTCGGCTGTTTGCCGCTCCCTCATGTGGTTGTAACTTGACATGTGTATCACCTCAAACGAAGGTCTGAAGAACAAATAGAGTTGCACCCTCCTTGTGACACTGCCAGGTTCTACAGTGCTTGAAAAGCTAGGGCAACCTGTTTGAAGGAATGCCTGGTTTCCTTTTGTTGGAGAAACTTAGCTCAAACCGTGATGTTGATGTCGACCTCAGATTCATCGGGCAGAAAGGTTCCCCTCTGAAATGAGACATCCCCTATCAAAACCAAGGTGGGTAATTCATCCATCCCATGGCCCAAATCTGGGATGCACAAAAGGCATCTCTCAGATTTCTGGTCCAGGAGTCCACATACGTCCATGTACAAGTTGTCTGCTCCCAAAATCCAAAACCGTTTGGAGGATACCCTATGCACCCAGGTTGTGTTTGCGGCTCCGCTGCACGCGACGTTTTCATCGCGCTCTGAGCTGCCGGCTCCTCTCGTGCCAGCTCCACGTCGCCTTCTCGATAGCCTTCGCCTCAGACGTTTCGCTCAAAGCGGACCGCGAGGAACGCTTATCGGGTGCTGGTACCGAGTAGGGAATGACCAAGGGTTTTGGGAATTCAAGGAAACCATAGGGGGTGGTTTATAGGGGTCATTTCATTTAGGACCAGCAAGCAATGTTTTGAGGCAGCTTGATGATCATTTCAATGGTCATGTATCCTGTTAGTTGTAGAGGACTGCCATATTGATCACTAAGGCTAATATATAACCTAAACGGAACCCTGTAAAGATAGGTGTCCCTTTGGCTTACTTCGTGAATTCCTGTCTTGTCGGGCTAGCAACCTTTTTCTCTGGCTGCTTGGTACTCAAAAGGGGCTGTCGGTTCAACACAAATCCAACAGGCTCCCCCTGGTGCTTGGTGCACCATTCCAAAACGAATCTACCGGGATATTTACCGGCTTGATTTCCGACTCAAACCCCCTCAATACTTCTTCTTCTCATAGCCCTTCGCCTTGTAGTACTCGGCGCGCATCTTCTCGCTTCCCCATCCTTTGCCCTTGTTGATGTGCTGGAACTCGTTCCAGCTGTTGCTGCATGCCTTCACCCTCGACGTCGAGCTCGAGGATGCCGAGGATGCCGCCGTTTCATTCCAGTGGTGCTCCTGCTCAAACCCCCCTCCATCGTACTTCCGCACCACCCACGTTCGGCCCCACTGATCATGAAGCTCCTGAATCCCACGGTCCACCTTCACCAAGTCCCGGGGCTTCTCCTTCACCTTAACCACCTCCAGAGGCTGCACGCCTCTCAGCCTTCTCACACAGCCCACCGCAACACCCGCGGTTTGCTTCGCCACCCACACCGCTCCAATCGCCATCAGGATGACTCCCACGACGAGCAACACGTCCAACTCGTCCACAGGCATGATGCCCTTCATGGCGGTCGCCTTCCCCACCAAGTCTGCTCCGATCACCGCCAACAACCTCACCTTCATGCCGAAGCCGTCCGCAGTGACTGCCTGATCCTCCTTGGCCAAAATGGCCTTCCTCATCATCTTCTTTACCACCGGCATGCCCAGGTCTTCCCTGAATCGCTCGAAGGCCTGACCATTAAGCGATTTCGTCATGCCGTCTGCCACCAGCTGCTTCCCCGACAGGTGCGTGAGCGACCAGCCACCATCTTCCAGGGCCCACCGCAACGACGCCGCCCTGATCCGCAAGTGCCTCGTCCTCCAGCTCCCCGACCCGTTTGATGCTAGGGCTATCGCCGCCACGTTGTCCCCGTAGATCCTCTTCTGGGTGAGTTGCTCACCCAGGATCACCTCCAACAAAGCCGCTGTCGCCCTTCCCGCCACCAACGACTCGCAGTACCCGATCAGCTCCGCTTCCGCCGTGGATTGCGCCACAAACGGCTGCTTGGTCGCCTCCCATGCAATTGGCGAGCCCGCGAAGTAGACCAAGATGCCCTGCACGCTCTTGTGGTCTCCTGCTGTGCCATAGCTGATGTCCGAGAACACCTCCAGCAACTTGTCGTGTCGCTTCACGCTCAGGTGATCCCGAGCACCCCATCCAGTAGCCTTCGCGTACTTGAGGCCCACGTCAGTCGTGGCGTTCACATACTTCAGCAACGCCATGCCCACATCCACCACCTGCTTCGGGCTCTTCATGTTACGGGCCATTGTTGCGACTCCTGCCATCAAATCTGGCCTCGTCTTCGTTGCCAACCAAAGCAACCCACCCGTGATTGCCTGTGCCCGTCGAAGCATCGTGGGGTCCAACTCTTCTTCCTCCTCCGGAGCCTTGTACATCGGCACCTCCATCTTTTCCCGAACGCCCCATTTCTCCACCAGCTCCTTTGCGCGCTCTGCCTCAAGTCAAAGCCCTCCTCCGACTTCCACATCTCGAAACCACAATACCTCAACGGCTCCTCCTCCGATGGCCATTCGATATCTGACAGCGGCCACTCCTGTTCAATTCTCTTGACCGCCGCCTTGATAACCTCCTGCTTGGCCGCTATCAGCACGTCGTCCACGTAGATCGACATGAAGCCCATGTGCCTTCCAGTGAGGTCGACACCTTTCACGTCGTGACCTCAAACTTCATGTCCCACTCCACGTCCTCCTCATCCTTCCACTTCCACATCATCTTCTTGAACATGCCATCGCGATGGACCCCCCAGTCCTTTGGGCTTGTGGTCAACCCATAGACCGCCTTGTCTATGATCCACACTTCCTCCTTGTTGGCCAACCCACATTCCCGGAAGATCGCCGGCACCTCCATCACCACCGTCTTGGAATCATCCCTTCTCGGGGCATGAAGAAATGCCGTACGGATGTCGGTCCCCGCCAGAGACCACCCTCTCATTGCCGCCATCTTCGCCAAACTCCTGATCTGAGTGGCATCCGCTCCGGACGCATATGTGTCCTCCTGTGCGGTGCTGCTTGCGAAGTTGCCGCACACCACGCCCCGGACTTTCCTCCTTCCATCGGGCGCCTTCCTCGTGCACACTGCCTTTGACGGCAGGAACTCCACCATCCCCGGCAGATCGTTGACCTCCTTCCTAGACACCGGTCTCACCGCCTTCAGCTCCTCGGTCATCGCGATGTACTCCTTCTTGGCCGGCTCGATCCAGTGCTGGAGCTCCGTCCTCACCTCTTGCATTCCCACCGTCTTCGTGACCCACCACTCTCCTCCAGGCGGTCTACATCCTCCATTTTCATCTGTCTGAGCTTCATCTCCAGCTCGTTTTTCTCTTGAACTCCTTCGCGAACCACCGGGAGCCACCACTCTTGCCCTTCTCCAACTCCATCCAGCAGTTCCATTTCTTCAGCTACCCAAGTAGCAATGTTTCCGTGGTGCTCCAACATCTTCTCCTCCACATCCTCCCCCTCGACGCGCATCGTCGACAGCTTCTGTTTCCCATTCAGCCGCCGCCTCTTTGGCGCCAAAAGGTCCACCTCCGGTCTCACCTCCAAGTTCACCGCCCCTTGCTCTCTGTTCAGGGCTTCCTCTACCTCCACCTCCGGTCCTCACCTCCAAGTTTGCATCCCCCTTGCTCTCTGAGAGGGAATCTCCTCCTCCCATCGTGGTCGCAGCTCCTCACCCAATATCCACCCGAGGTGAGCGACATTGCGGCATCCGGGCCCATCACCGTGACCCTCTCTCTGTCCCACCTCCAATCCTGGTAGCGGTCCGTCCATGCCTTCTTCTTCACGTAGGCCACGGACGCGAACGGTAGCAGTTGCTTCGCGGGGTATCCCAAGCTCCGAAGCTGACCCCGCAACATCCTCTCTGCTGCTTGCCGCAGTGCCAAAGGCCACACCTCCACCTTCTCCTTGGAGGCGCACAAGATCGTCCGTGTCGCCCTTTTCAAAGCACCCACAACCTGCTCGGCACGGCCGTTCTCCTTGTAGCTATCGCCGGGCACGGTCGTCTTGTAGATGCCTCTGTCCTCCGCGAACTTCCTGATTGGAGCTGAAACAAGCTCCCGCGCCCGATCCGAATGAAGGCGCAACACCGGCAGCCCCAGCGCTCGCAACCGAGCATATATCCGTGCAATCGCCGGCAGCACGTTCATCGCCTTCCTGTCCAGCACGGGTTCCGCGAAAACCAAGTTCTTGACCTTGAAGCTCGCCGCCTCTTGCACCATCTTCTTCCACTTTTCCAGGTCACCAACGTCCTTTTCGTTCTCTCTTTCCTCTGCTACCACCTCCTCATCTTCCCTTACCTCCAGTGGTTCCATCTCCTCGTCCGCCTCCGGTAGTAGGTCATCTTCTGCAGGAAGCGGATGTTCCTCCTCTTCACGCACCAATGACCTCCCCTTCATGTCCACCGGGTACGTGTACACACCCACCAAGAAGTACGCCACCTTTCCTCTCTGGTCGACGCCCTCCTTGAGCTTCCCGGAGAGGTCCACCGCCAAGGTGTATGCATCCGGGTGAGTGACCCTCACGTGCGGTCTCCCCCGTCCCTGGGCTTGCACACACGTTTTGCAATCCCTTCTCGCCGGCATGTGGTCGTTGAGGAAGTGCGTCTTCCATCTCTGCAGCTCGTCCACCCGCACCGGCTTCAGCTGCGGCTGCATCTTCAAATGCATCCTCACCGCCTTCATGATCTCCATCTTCAAACCCGGCGCCCAACACGCCCATGACTTCGTCTGCTGGATTCGCTCCTCAAGGCTTCCAGTCCATTCCTCCTCCCCCGTGCCTGGGCCCCCCAATCCATCCAGATGGTCCAGGTACGGCGCGTTCACCCCGATCGTCGTCGGTTTCCGCCTCCGATCGCCCAGTGCTCCTTGGTCACATCGAACCAGGTGCATGCCGTACTTCTGCTCAAAGGTCTTCCATTCCTGAAACCTCCACACGCTGACATAGTCCGGGTTGCCATCATCCCGGTATTCTCCAGGATCTCGTGGCTGCTCCTTCACGAACAGGACCTTGTCCTCCGTCGATGCCTGCGCCACCACATGCAGTGTGAGCATCCTCAGCCATAGCACCGCATCCCCATCGACCAACTCCTTCTCGTATTGGTTCAGTCCCTTCTTGCCGTAGGGCTCCTCCACCGACCTCACCGGCCTTGGCCCGGGACTCCTCGTTCTGCAGGCCGAGACCGTCCTGCACGGTGGACCGCCCAGGATTGCCTTGACCTTGCCCGTCCTGGCCAACTTCAACAAGTAGGCAAACACCTGCGGCCTATGAAGGTCCTGACCCGGATCGATGGCTGTGTCCACGCATACCACCGCAACTCCCTGCCCTTCCAGGCCATCCATCCACTCCTTCTCATTCGCACCCGCAAACAAATGGATAACGAGGTGCTCCGCCCATTCGAATGTCCGCCTCCTTCTCCTATTCCAGGGCAGCTCGTCCCCATCCACCTCCATGCTGGGCATCACCCGGCTCACGATCTCATCCGGCACCCCCGGAAAGAATTCCTTCAGTGCCTTGGTTATGGCCAGCTCCGGTCTGTCCTTCAACTGCTCCATCGGCATCTTCATCGCCGCCAACCGCAGCATGTGGTTCTCTTCCATGAGCTCCATCTCCTCGATGAGGCCCAATGCGATCTCGACCTCCACCATGGGGCAACTGTCTACCATCTCCTCCCTGCTTCCACTCCACTTCGTACCCCATCATGGTCAAGACGCCCATGGGCACGATCGGCTGGATGTCCTCCTGCGTGATCAGCGTGAGGATTCCCTCCTTCAACCTCATCTTCGAAGTGGTTCCTTCCGCCAGGATCACCTTTGTCGGCGTTGCGGCTTCCCACTCCTCCAGGTCCTTGCACTTCCGCAGTGCATGAGTTGCTCCCCCGTCTAGCAGGCCCTTGTTGATCACCACCGTGTTCATCTCCTTGATCACCACCATTGACTTCGCGGATGGAGCCCTCATCGACCTAAGAAGCTGTGTTGCCTCAGCCAACAGCTCCCCCGTTCCACCACCTGTAGATGTCGCCGTCCATGCCGTGGCCTCCACCACCTCCGCTTTCTCGATCTTTTCAGATCCTCCTGCAGTCCACCCACTCGCTCCTGCGCCTGCGCTTGCTCCTGCCGGACCGCTTCCACCACTGCCAGCTACACCACCTCCCCCCGAGCCGTCTCTCGGCTCGTGCGCTGCAGCTTTGACCACCGGCTTCGCTGGCTGGCCCTTTCCTCCACCTTTCACCGGACAATCTGGTCGTCGGTGCTGCTTCGACCCACAGATCCAGCACCGTGCATTCCGATCTCCGACTGTCTCCCAGTCGTGATTCCACTTGCACCCTTTTCCCAAGCGACATCCATGCTCCGACCCAAAGTACCTGCACACTGCATGCCGTACCCATCTCCTTTTTCGCATGGTCCGGAGTGGGCCTGTCCGCTGTGGTGCCGGCGACCATTGCCTTTACCCTGGCCGGTTCCACCGCCATCAGCCTCGCCGTGTCCATCTCCGCAAGCAGCAGCTCCGAGTAGTTCCAAATGCCTTGCACCGTGGGCGTGGTATCTAGCCCCAACTGCGTCCGCGCTTGGGCAACCCGAAAGGCTTGCGGCCCTCCGCGATTCACTAGCTGCGTCACCTTCTCCAATGCCGCCGCCAGAAGCGTAGGGTCTGGGAGCGAGGCTCCAATCTCCTGCGCTCTCAGGTAATACCTCCTCCATTCTCTCAAAGCGACTGCTGCTTCTGCAACCGTCCTCATCTGGCCCAAGTCCGTGAGCTTCCTGAGGATCAAGGACCGTTCTCCAGGACCACCAGGCTGATAGGTCACCAACAGCCTGTACAGCACCCCCGTGCTGCTAATGTCCCTTGCCGAGATCAACTCCTTGCGGATCTCCTCCGGAATTGCCCGCAGCAGCATGGTGACCCCACGCTGCTCCGTCCGCACGAACCTGGCAGTTCTGAGAGCCTCCGGGATCCCGACCGTGATCTTGAGGAGTGCTCCTCAGCCAAACCTCATAGAGCTTCTTCGCCTCTTCCATTGTGCCCATCCACCACTCAGCCGCTCCTTGGGAAAGATCCTGCATCTGGGGCCCCACCACCGCGAACCAATCCCCCAACGTCAATGGGGAATGATCATACGCCAGCTCCGGCAGTTCCACCTTCGCCCCTGCTCCTCCCGTCTCGATCTGGTCCAGCGGCTTCGCCTCCGCCTTTGTGTTCTGCTCCCAGTCATCCCAGGAGCCCCACACGCCGCTCCAGTTCCTGTACCATCCTCCACGTGGTTGCTGATCCCACCTTGCCTCCCAGCCTGTGTCAGCATCTTCCGTCCTCGGCGGTTCTCCTTCCGGCACCTGAGTTCCACCCGGGGTACACCTCCATGCAGGCGACCGAGTCCTTGCTCTCGGGGTACTGGCCGTCCTCGCTGCAAGAACTTCCACCGGCCTTGGTGGCGGTGGCGGTGGCGGTGGTACCGGGGCCACAATCCGGGGAACAATCGCTTGTGCCATCGGGGTGACAAACATCTCCTCCACCGGCGTCTCAAACCTTTCCGGCTCCACATGCTGGTCACGAACCGCTTGCTCATACTGTTCCTTCCAGAACTGAGCCTTCTCCTGCGTCTTCCTGACCTCTCCTCTCAGCTCCTTGATCACGCCGAAGAGGTGCTTCCGCTGTTTCTCCATGCCGACCAGCTTCTTGCACGCCCGGCCGTAGTTCCTCTCCATTTCCTCAGCCAGGTCCATCTCGCCGATCAGCTCCTCCTCATCGTTTGGGCGCTGAGCCTTCTCCGGAATCCATACCTTGAGCTCGTCATTCCAAGCCCAATCCAGATCCAGACCGCGGCTACCCCAGGTCCACCTCCTGGCTTCCTCTCCGCTGCTTCCCGCAGCACCAGCCTGTTCTCGACCTCCGCCAAGAATCCCGGACTTCCTTACTGCCGCATCCCACCCATCTTCAACTTCTCGTTGTTCTCGGCCTCGCCCAACCTGATCTTGCCGATGCTCAGGTACCTGTTGTAGCCTTCTTCCATCACTCGGCCTCGGGACCGGCCGCTCTCCTTGCCCTTCACCAGGCTGTCCAGCTTGTCGATCGCCTTGCCCGTCTCGTTCTCCTCCAGGACGGCGCTCTTGTTGATCTCTTCGACCGCCATGTTCTTCACCTGGCTGACGAGCCTGCCGATCTCCTTGCCCTTCACGTTCTGCACCTCGCCATAGTGCTCGGGCATCCACCATCCGAGGCCCCCGAAGATCACCTTCTCGGCCCATCGGTCTGCCACGCATGGATCCATATCCCTCCACGCCTCTACTGGGCTCTCCACGGCCTTCACCAAGCCGATCATCCTCTCCTCGTTGAAGTCCACCATCATTCCCATGTGGCAGCCCTCCACCTTCGTTCCCACGACCTCCTCCAGGTCGCCGATCTCGATCATCCAGCCCGGGTTCACGGACATCATCCGGGCGAGGAACACCTCCACCAGGTGCGACGGATGCTCCCTCAAGGTCGGCCAAGAGGTCCCTCTTCACGTCGCTCCAGAACTCCTCATTCCCCCGGCTGGAGACCGCCTCCGGGTGCTCACCGTTCTGACGATCACCCCATCCGAGCAGTCCACCATCCGGGCCAGGTCCTTCTTGAAGATCTTCTTCTTCGGCCAGCTTCTCATCTGTCCCCGGCACCGGAGGCAGCCCACTCGGTCGGCTCGCCTTCAGCGCCGCTTCATCCCGCGCGCGTTGACTCCAGAACGGGTTTACTTCCACCCGCCGTCCTTGTGCTTCCCCAGCGTGTGGCGGCACCTCCTCCAGCTCGCCCTCGGCCTCCGCCACCACGATGCCCATCCCAGCATCCACGCTGCGGGCCCGCCTCCTCCGCATTCCGGCATCCATTGCCCAGCTAAGAGGAGCTACGTCCTTGGGCTCATAACCCTTGTCGGGCTAGCAACCTTTTTCTCTGGCTGCTTGGTACTCAAAAGGGGCTGTCGGTTCAACACAAATCCAACAGGCCTG